GCTGTGTTCATCCAGCTCTACACCTTGTTATCTCAGATTCTCCAGCATCTGCAGTTCCTACTATCTCGAAAGCAATGTATGTTGTTCACGTGGAATTTAAAAGGCAGGTTAACTAATCTGTGGTTTATGGATTATAGGGTAACAGCTTATTGGTTGAAAGACAAATTTTGAGTCAAAATAAATGGTTGTTTTTCAGATAGGAGTGAGCTTCTTCAAGAGTCAGTATTAAAATTACTGCTTGTTTTTACTGGTACAATTACCTTGGATATTGAAGCATGGGGTAAAAGTTTGCTGATGACTCTAAACTGGGAGGTGTGGCAAACAGTAAGGGTGATACCAATCAACTACAACAGAACATAGATTGGCTAGCAAAATAGTAGCCAGTGTAGCTAAAGCAGATATGCAGCAAAAGAATTTAATAGAGAAAGGAGAGGTGATAGACTTTTGGCATAAGTATTAGGAGATTGGTGAAATTATTAAATTTCTTTGCCTGCAATAATTGAGTGTTAATATCCATTAGTTATTGCAGTTTTAAAAATAACAACATGGTTCAAAAGCATTGCGTGGATTGCTACATTAACATACAACTTAGACATGTATATTGAAATGTATTCAAATAATTTAAATAACAAATGCAATCAACAATTAGGAACCAAAATATATAGTTGCAAATATCTTTTCAGAAAGAAAAAAATAATGAAATGCTTAAAAACATCTTAAAAAGCCAGGAAATGAGCAACTGAACTTCTTGCCTGTTTTGTTCAATAAGGTGCTGCTGAAACCAATGAATTGTACACATATGTTCATGGTCTGGGGATGGCACATTTGACAGAAAGTGCTTGTGATGCTGCAACTGTGGAAAACAGAAAATAAACCAAGTTATCTTACAAAAAACAAACTACACTTAAAAAATTCTTGTCCTTTGTATTATGTAACATCGAGATGATTTAAAGCACGAGACAAATATATTGGACACCTGCTTAGTGAAACTGTTACAATTCTGTTTCTACACTATATGTCCGCTCAGCATGGTATCATGATGCAAGCTAGCATCAGTATCAGGAAAGTTGGAAATGATGTTGAACAATGTGCAGTCATTAGCAAATATCCCCATTTCTGACCTTATGATGGAGAGAAGGTCACTGATGAAGCAACTGAAGATGGTTGGGCCTAGGATACTACGCTGAGGAGTTCCCAGACAGGTATTCTATAGCTGCAGTGATTGACCAACAACCAGAACCCTTTGTGGCAGGTACAATTCCAAACAGCAGAGATTTTCTCCCTAATTCCCATTGCCTGAAGAAAGCCAGACGTTAAAGGGAGGAGCAAAGACTGTTATCACTAGAGACTACAAAACATCAATGACAAAAAAAATCACCAAAACTCTAAACCACAGGGATTCATTTGCCTCTGCTCCCCCATTCTACAGAATGGTTTCAGAATGAGTAGTATATTTGTGTCACAGGTTATACATTTATTTTCTGCGTCTAATTAAATAATTTATTATATCTAAACTATTGCCTCATGTAGGGGTGACCTGTACCTGGCCAGGTAAGGTGGCTCGTACCCGAACACATTAAGCAGCCCATGCCTGCTTACAAGATGACAGACAGAAGGTAAGCAAAACTAAGCAGCCTGTTCACACAGTGAAATACAATAGTACCTTTGAACAGAACTGCTCGAAGGTCAGTAAAAGAACGCTGTATGTTCCCATCCGAGACAGTTCTGATAAAAGGATGCCTTAGGACAGATAAATGACCAATTCCAGCTTTATTAAGGAAAGGATGAATGTCCCAGTAAATGAATAACGTCGGGTGCTAGATTAGGTCCTCAAGCAGCTGCAAGGATAACAGCTAAAGTTATTTCATAGTAAATAGTTGCCTCTTTGAAGCTACCAGCAATATTAAATAGTTTCTAGCTAAAAATGCTCTAATCGTAGAAATTGGTTTCAATACATAAGCAGGATATAATACAAGCTTTAAAAAAAAATTAAGCTTAGATGTAAAGATTAACTAGCCTTAGGAGACACCTTCTCTTATGCCCTGAACAAGATAGATTGATCACAAGCCATAAATTACAAAATGCTGACAGTAGAAGTAGTTGTTTAACATTACACTCAAAATTAACTTTATAACAGAACTTAACCTTAAAGCAATTAGCTAAAACTAACTGACTTTTTAATTTTTAAAATTATGTAGTTGGGACATTGGGGAAATAAAAGGAGTAACTGATAGTGATAACAGACAGCACCAAAAATCAACAGGTAACAGAATTTGAGCTGTCCTTGCAGATAAGGAAGCCTGAAAGACCCGAAGGAGTATAGCCATTAAAATTTTGGAATGCGAATGCATAGAATGCATGGGAAGATCCCAAGCCTAGAGATCACAACACCTAGCTAAAACCATAAGATCATGGAGCTGTCCATGGAATTGCCCATCATTGATTAGGCATCCCACAGGATTGGGTGTTTGGATTCAGGGGAAGGATGATGAATATGTTGTAAGTGATTATTGTGTCACAAAAAGTGTATAAAAATGCTGTATTTCTTTGTAAAAGGAGAGGACGTGTCATTGATCTATCTTCCGAAGCCAGATTCAGGGAAGATCCTTTGGGCCTCTCCCTGCATAAACTGGTTTCTGCTTGATCAAACAGCTTCCACTTGCCTGAATCCTGCCTCCCTCCTGAGGCTTTATCCCAGGTTGAGAAAAACGCTCCTACAGAAGTGATGATGAAAAGCTCAGCTGTAGGTAGTTTTAAGAAGCTGCTTAAAAAAATGATTAAAGAGAAGTAGGTAAGCAGATAAAATTAAAGGGAGAAAGTGTAAAGCTTTGGGGCCAGAAGCCTGAAGGCATGGCTACCAAGGTAATTTGAGGAGGACTGTAGTACTGCTGGAAAGTTACAGTAATTGGGAACAGGAGGAGTAGGCCATCTAACCATTCAGGTTATAGTAAGGAAAAATCATGGAGGAATTTGAACACAACAATGGGAATTATGAATGGAATTCTTGAAATGTAAAGGAAGCTTCAATTTAAAAAATAAACACAACATCAAGATGTTAATGAGTGTGTTCATTCCAAAACTATTCCATTAAAGGGATGGTTCTAGTGGTACTACACCAGCAAATGAGAGGAGCTTTGAAACAGCCAAAATATTTCTAGAGAGCTACCAGGCCATATCATGAATGTGCCAGATAAAATAAAAGTTTAATCAAGGAGGAAAAAAAAAATGCATCTTTAACACTTCCACAAGAGCTTCAGAAGGAACAGTACACAACTAAAGCGCAAAAAAAAAGTGATTTAACCTAGCAAAATTATACCAGATAGATAGTACAGTCACACTAACCTTCTGTCTCAGCCCAACACTATTACCAAACCCAGCTCTCAAGAAACTTTAAATTTTTTTAGTCAAACTTTCAGCTAGATTGCCAGCATAATTAAGTGCTAAACACTTACAAAGTCAGCTTAATTGTAAAATCACAAAGATTTCCCATTTATACGTTCTAAAAAACACAAACTGTGCATTTTCCCCACATCAAGATAACCACAATTTTGCACCATAATAAAAAAAGTTGCCAGAAACAGGACACAATTCAATTTCAAAGAACTGTGAATGCTGGATATCTAAAACAAGAACAGAAATTTCTGGCGAAACTCAGCAGGTCTAGTAGCATCTGTGAATATAGAGCAGAGTTAATATTTTGATTATTCTTCGAAGAAAAAGTGGTACTTATGCTGAAGACAAACGGCGGAGGCGTTGGGGGTGGAGATGGAGCCCACGGCAAGGCAGATGACAGGGGTAAGTAACAGTACATTGGGACCGAAGAAAAGCTAAATAGGTGATTACAGCCAACAGTGTACGAGAAATTGGGTGAGCCCTACTCAATATAATAATAGGTAGGTGAGAAAGCTAAAAAGCAACATGTTATAATAGAACTTCCACTTTTCAGCAGACCAGAAGAGCTTTCCTTTGGGGATGAGAGGGATCGTACAAAGAAAATGTAACCCCGTAACTTAGCCAAGCCTTTTCCTTTGAGTTTCCATAAACATACTTGTTTCCTTCTGTCTATTTCAGATCCAGCTCCACTTGCTTGCTCTTTTGGATGACTCAACGTTGCATTTCCAGCCTTTATGGCATCTTCAGGTACTTTGTTTTGCTCTAGAAAAGTACAACAGGATGAATTATGGATCATAAATATATCTTGTGCAAAAAAAAGTGCTTTATCATAAGGTAATTCATTTCAGTCCAATGAACAATACATCAAATGGAGCTTGTTCAAAATTCTGTCCAACAATTGATGCCAAAGTAAGATTTCCGACAAAGCTACAAATGAAAAGCTGACAAATGATACCAAATTACAGAGCCAAAACATGTTTGAACAAAAATTGTAATTTATGGGTCAAGCTGACAGCAGTGTAGGATGCTCCAACTGGAGGTCCTCTGCTCCTTCTGTTTATTTCCCCATTTCCTTCTCTCTCTCTATACCACCCCCAACCCCCGCACCTTTATGGGGTTTACCCCTGATGCAGAGTGGGCTGGAGCGCAGCAGGGACAGTTGTTGGACTGGGACCAGAGTGGGGGTGTCAACAGCTTGCAAGCCCAGTCAGGCCACATGTGGAAGCCCCCTGTGCTGATCTACTGCATGCCCTTTATAGAAAGGTTGTAACACTTATCTTTTTAAACTTTATTTCTTTTTATTTTTCTAATCTGTACTATGACAAACTGCAAGGTAATGTAACTTCTTTTCCTGGTGCATTTTTGTTTCTATATTTTGTATCTAAGAGTTGTATCTCGGTACTTTATACCTAAGATGGCACCATGTGGGGAGACATCGTAAACTTTTCACTGTACTTCTGTAATTGAGTACATATGACAATAAAAGGATATTCTAATTTCTAAAAGAAAATCAAAAACAAAACTTAATATATATGTTATTGAACTCACGTTTATTGGTTTGAATCAGCGCTGACAGCATTTCTAGATGTTCTTCACTTAAATTGTCAGCTGTGGATTTTGTCAAAGTTCTTTGATCATTTTTTTCACTGGTAATTGAACCAGACTCAATGGTCATATCTTTGTTTATATACTTTGGTTCAGGTTTTGAACAATAGTCCCTCTGTGTCTTTATCTTGGTAAACAGTTTCTTCAAGGCTGCCTTAGTTGGGCATGCAGAGGGCTGACTGGCTGCTACCAACTGTAGATCTCCACAGTAGCAGAAAGAAATGTTTAGTTACAAAGTGCAAACATTTGCAAATCCCTATACAATTCTACTAATTGCTTCATATGCCTGACTGAAAATCAAACAAAACAAATACAAATACAAATGGCACAAAAACAGTAGAACATTAATGATGATGCCAAGTTGGGTGGGAGGCTGAACTGTGAAGAAGATGCAGAGATCCTTCAGCATGATCTGGACAGGTTGGGTAAGTGGGCAAATCAATGGCAGATGCAGTGTAATTTGGATAAATGTGAGGTTATTCACTTTGGAAGCAAAAACAAGAAGGCATATTACAACCTGAATGGCTGTAAATTGGAAGACAGCAGTGTGCAGTGGGACTTGGTGTCCTTGGGTACCAGGCGCTGAAGGTAAGCATGCAGGTGCAGAAGGCGGTAAAGAAGGTAAAAGGTATGCTGGCCTTCATTGCGAGAGATTAAGTACAGGAGCAGGGATCTATTGCTGTAATTACACAGGGCCTTGGTGAGGCCACACCTAGAATATTGTATGCAGTTTTGGTCTCCTTTTCTGAGGAAGGATGCTCTTGCTCTCGAGGGAGTGCAGCGAAGGTTTACCAGGCTGATTCCAGGGATGGCAGGACTGACATACGAAGGGAGATTGACTAGGTTAAGATTGTTTTACCTGGAGTTTGGACAAATGATGGGTTGATGTCAGAGACTTATAAAATTCTAAAAGGATTAGATAGGGTAAGTGCAGGGAGGATGTTCCCGGTGGTGGCTGTGTCCAGAACCCTGGGTCACAGTCTGAGGATTCGGGGTAGACGGTGGATGGACGGAAATGAGCAGTCATTTCTTCACCCAAAAAGAGTGGTGAGCCTGTGGAATTCATTACCACAGGAACCAGTTGATGCCAAAACATTGGATGCATTCAAGATCTAGCTAGATATAGCACTTGGGGCAAATGGGATCAAAGTTTATGGGGAGAAAGCAGGATTAGGCTACTGAGTTGGACAATCAGCCATGACAGTGATGAATGGAGGAGCAGGCTCGAAGGGCCAAATGGCCTCCTCCTGCTCCTATCTTCTACATTTTTATGTTTCTATGAACACATTGCAGTGCAACTACAACTGGCACCCTTCTGGCACACTTCTAACTCTAATAATATTCTCTAAACAGAAAACAAGTCAACTTATTTCAAGTGGGTGAATTTCTCAAAGGGCTGAAGGTTAGGAAAACCTAAAGTTTTAAGAGTCAGAGTAAAACAGCACAGAAAGAGGCCCTTTGGCCCAAACTGGTCCATGTTGACCAGGGTGCCCACTCAGTTAGTTTCAATTGCCTGCATTTGGTCCATCTCCCTCTAAACCCTTCCCATCCATGTACCTATCCAAGAGTTTAAAATGTTGCTATTGTACCTGCCTCAATCAGCCCATTCCATATACACACTACTCACTGCGTGAAGAAGTTTTCCCTCAGGTCCTTCTTAATCTTTGCCCTCTCACCTTGAACCTATGCCCTCTCATTTTCAATTCCCCACCCCTGGGATAAAGAGTGCATGCATTCATCCTATCTATGTCCCTCACGACTTTATCTCCTATGTTCCAAGGAATAAAGTTCTATCTTGGCCAACCTCTCCCTATAACTCTGCCCTACTAGTCCTGGCAACATCCTCATAAATCTTTACACACTTTCCAGTTTAGCTAGGTCTTTCCTATAGAAGGGTGACCAGAACTGTATACAATTCTGTTTTTCTCCCTACTTTTCTTTAATATTAGTGACATGTGTAATTATCCACTCTAAAGGAAAATTTCACAAATCCAGAAAACTGCATGGAAAATTATTGATAGGGTGTCTGCAATTTTCTCACCAACTTAAAACAAAAACAAACACAGATGGAAACCATCTCAGATAACAAGGTATAGAGGTGGATGAACACAGCAGGCCAAGCAGCATCAGAGGAGCAGGAAAGCTGATGTTTCGGGCCTAGACCCTTCTTCAGAAATGCACTGCAACTTGCTTTTCTGAAGGGTCTAGGCCCGAAACATCAGCGTTCCTGCTCCTCTGATGCTGCTTGGCCTGCTGTGTTCATCCAGCTCTACACCCTGTTATCTCAGATTCTCCAGCATCTGCACTTCCTACTATCTCTTGGAAACCATCTCGTCCTGGATTGACCACTCTTGAGCACCATTATTTCATTCATTGCTGTTACTTGACTTACAATAAATTTTCAATTATTTCCTTGGGATTCAGGAATGTTGGCTTCTTCCTACTCTCTTAATACTGACACAGTAATTATTCAACATGACTATTGCCATTGACAATAATCATTTACTAAGAGACCGATGTTGGTCCAGACCAAGCATTATTTTCTACAATTCTCTTTTAAAAAATTGTGTTGATTTTTGTATCCCATTTAAAGTTCAAATTAACACCTCCTTTTTGTAGTTCTACGCTTTATCATTTGGATCATTTCCATTTGCCAGCATTTTTGTTGTAGTTTTGTATGCCATTTCTGTTCGTGTTGACTCTTGCCTCCTAGACATCCATAGGTGTTTTCTTTTGTAGGAAATGGAGCTCTTGCCCCTTAGAATATAAACTGGTTCAATGCCAAACTAAATCTATTAATTAACAATTCCATTAATCTGTCATTTTACCTATGATCAGTTTATAGTGAATAGTTTTTATCATCCGAATGAAGAAAGCCTTGCACGGACTTAGAATCTTGATAGCTGTTTCATGTTATCCTCTTTCAAACAATTTATTGAACACGACAATATTATGACTGCCTTTAGATAAGTGCTCAGACTATTAAATTGTTAACTGAATAAGGAAGATCTGAATTTAGGAAGACCGATTCATTGGTTCTCCAGCAGTTTTAAAATCTATTCTGACATATTCAAAAATCCACTACATTTCTCACATTTACCAATCTATTACAAGGTTAAAATCCTCTATTAAAATTATACTGCATTTGGTACACAATGTTTTAAGCTTTGTTTTGCTTTGTACCACCTCTACTACCAGGGGCTAATAGAAAATGAGTTGTCAAAATTTCTTCCCACAAAGCCATCAGACCCATAGAATCTTTCCTGCCTGCTTAACTTCATTAAAATCACTTCACCGTTAAATCATCAAGGCTATTGCTTCCTCAGTAATGGCTACCATTTACCATTTTCACTAAGTTTCTGGTCCTAACCTGGTTCAGGTGCCACCTACCCCAATATCATAGTTTTCACTGTTCCAATTGTTTCGAGTTTGGATTTCAGCTATTGTCATGTGGGTTCAGTCTGCATATCTGAAGGAATTGAATGATGAATTTCAAGGCATTTCTGCAGCCACGGTGATTTCCGTTACACACAATGTGACTGAGTGAAAGTGGGCACAAGGAAGTTCCCATGCAAATTCTACAGGCAAACAAAGTAAATTGTTTTCAGTTTTGAAGGTCAGAGATTGCATTTATTTCATTTTGATTAGGGGATACACCCATAGCTTGGCAAAAGCTCTGGGTATCATCTGATTCTTGCAAAAATTTTGGCTTCAAGAAAGTCTAAGCTCAATTACATGAAGATTCGAAGTGACTCTCAGATTCTCAAGACTAGTAATCAAAGTCACAGTTCAATGAAACCCTTTAGATGTCAAAGAAAAAGGCTGCAAGTACTATAAAGGGTACTATTCAGATTTTTTTTTCCTATTCATTTTATGGGACGTGGGCATCGCTGGCTGGGCCAGCACTTCTTGACCATCCCTAGTTGCCTTTGAGATAGTGGTGGGGAGTTGCCTTCTTGAACCGCTGCACTCCTCCTGTTGTGGGTTGACCCACAATGCTATTAGGGAGGGAATTCCAGGATTTTGACCCAGCGATAGTGAAGGAATGGCAATATATTTCCAAGTCAGGATGGTGAGTGACTTGGACAGAAACTTGAAGGTGATAACGTTTCGGGTCCAGTGACCCTTCCTCAGAACTGAGGAAGGGTCACTGGACCTGAAACGTTAACTCTGTTTTCGCCTCCACAGATGCTGCCAGACCTGCTGAGCTTTTCCAGCAACTTTGTTTTTGTTCCTGATTTACAGAATCCGCAGTTCTTTTGGTTTTTAACTTGAAGGTGACGATGTTCCCATATACCTGCTGCCCTTGTGCTTCGAGATGGACGTGGTCGTGGGTTTGGAAGGTGCTGTCTAAGGATCTTTGGTGAATTTCTGCAGTGCATCTTGTAGATAGTACACACTACTGCTACTGAGCAGTGATGGTGGAGGGAGTGAATGTTTGTGGATGTAGTGCCAATCAAGCGGGCTGCTTTGTCCTGGATGGTGTCAAGCTTCTTGAGTGTTGTTGGGGCTGCACTCATCCAGGCAAGTGGATTATTGGGAATGCATTTTACCACATGTTTCAAAATCTTTAAATTTGTGTTATAAGTAGGGAGTTTGATTTATTCTATCTTCATTTGTTTTTATATAATAAACTTGTTTTATTCTTCAATCTCCAGCATTGCCTCCTTATGTTTCAGTGAAAGACTACCTTGTTTAAACCAAAGAAAGAAAAACACGATCTATCAAGCCAAATTACAACCTATGATTTGACTTGTCCAGTAAAACTGGATTACTGCTAGGATCATTGATACTGGTATCAGTGTTACTTGCTCTTATCCGCACCACTCCTGCTACTCCATGCTCATTTTCCTATTCCTACGGCAATTTTCACATGATTCTGCTCATGATCCAAAAGGTCCAAATGTCCTGCCTTTTAAATTTAGCTCCTAAATCCTAGTACTCTCCAAAACAAAACCTACTGCCTACAGTCCCAAATGTTATTGGTTGCAACGTGGATTCTAACTTCCTTTCAAGACATTTCAAAATGTCCCTCAGGCAAGCATCAGGCAAACAACATTCCATGCAGTACTCTCAATCATGGTTACAAAGATGCTTTCTGTTCCAATGTTTATTAAATCCCCAACAACTAGCACATTACTTTTTCTTCTCCTACATCATCATCTGAACAGCATTTTGTTTAAAGGCCAAATTCTTGCTAACCTTCAGTCTTCGTCTTTCTCGGTCCTGGTACAATAACATCATACCTGTTGAAGACTAGATGTTTGGCCATTTAGCCCCGAGACTGCTCTGCCATTCGATGAGATCGCAGCTCATCTGGTTGCAGTTTTAGCTCCATTGACCAGTCTACAGCTCAATGCTCAACTCCCTCATCCACAAAAATTTTATTCAACTCTTAATTAAAACGGTCAAGCCTCCATTACCTGCTCAAAGAAAGGAAAATATACAACAACCACCCTTGAGAGAAAATAACTGTTGTCTCTGTTTTAAAACAGAGAAATCTTTTTGCTTAAGCTATATCCCAGTTTTAATACCCTCAAGAGTAAACGTCCACCCAGAATCAATGATATCCAGTCCTCTAAAGGCTTTTCATGTTACAATAAAATCATCCATCACTCTTCTAAATTAACATGCCTAATCTGTTCAGCCTTTACTCCCGTGAATGAGGTGACAGGATCAATTTCTGCAGACGCTCGTACTCTATTTGATGTTAACTGCAGACTGTTCCAAGTAAATGTCTCACTCTTCACAAACTCCAATATTCTCCAGTCCAGACACAACCTGCTTCATCATATCCAAGTTCACTCAATCCAAATACAGTAATAACTATTTCAAACTATTTAAGGAATCTAGACAATATTATACAGAGAATATTTTCTCTCACAGTTTCAGTTACCTCGGATATTACCCAAGTGTAGTGTTGATAGATCTTTCCGGGTAGCGTTTTCATGTTGCTGTTCCTTTTGAAATCCATCTGGATCAACTGAAAGGTCCAAATCTTCATCTTGTACTCCAATAGTTGGGGCTGGTAAAGGTTCGTGCTCAAGTTGAAGTATTAAGTCACCTCTGACTTCTGGTGGTGGTAATAGTGGTGTTACGCAAAAAAGAAAACATGCCTTGGTTATTAAGAATTTTAATACCATGACACCAAAATCAGCACTTAAACTTACAGTCAGCATTCAATGGATACAGCACTACAGCATACTTTCTGTTTCATAAGGAATGAGGTATTTTAATTGTCAAAATAAAACATGGTTATGCAGTTAGCACCAATGTTCTGACCAGCAAACAGCATAACAAAAGATGGAGTCAGTTATGAGGCTGGACCTCATTGGAAGCAACATCTCTGTTGCACCACCTAGCTAAAAATAAAAAGTGCCCAGGCATGATCCCAAGAACTGCCCTCAATTTAATACGTGGAACAGGATTAACAAATTCAGATGAGTTTTTTCTTGGAAGATCCAGTGTAGAGATATACATAGAGGGGAACTAGTGAAGGAATCCCTGAAGACAGCTTGCTCACAAACCACTTCTCAGCCTTGCAAAATGGTGAGAGTCATGGTTCCTCTGTAGTGTCAAACCAGAGCCAAGGCCACTACAGTGAAGGTGGTCCAGGTCTTCAGGGAATGTGCACACTTATGTATGTGTGGGGGCAAGTTCAACAATGTCACAGTGTACTTGCATGGCATTTTGGGGGAGTTTGGAAGGGGGGGGGAGGGGAAGAGAGGCGGTGGCGAACAGCCAGAGATCATGTCCATCGCCGGATTACTCCCGGTGCCAGTAGCAAGTCTAGAAGGACAAACATGGGTAAATGTGTGGCTGGGCGGGTGGTGCAAGGGTAAGGATATTAGATTGCTGAGGTATTGGGATCATTTCTTTTTTAGTTGGGGTTGGGAGTCAGACAACAGGGCTGCACAAGTTGGATAACTTGCATCCAAACAAGAATGGGACCAACAAACTTTTGGTAAATTTGCTTATGCTCTTGGTATGGATTTAAACTGAATTGGCAAAGAATTGGGATCATGACAAGTAATTCAGATGGGAGAGAAGCCGAGGTGGAATTTACAAAATCTGAATACTACTGAGTGGGTCTGGAAGATGGAGGGAAGAAAAGCTAGGTAGGAAAGTAGAGTTTAACAAGGTCAAATATAAACACATTTTAATGCAAGAAGCCTGAGAAATGAGATAGACAAGTTGACAGTATAATAACATAACTATGAAAAAGACCTAGCAAAATGATGAGCAGGAATCTGATTCTCTTGAAGTTCTGGAGCGCTACTGGTGTCTTCAAGCATGAAAACTAATGCAAAGTACCCAGTTAGCTCCGCCATTCCTTTGTTCTCCATTACTACTCTCCAGTCTCATTTTTCAGCAGTCCAATATTCACTCTTGCCTCTCTCCACCTTTTTCATGTATCTAAAAAGACTCTAGCAATGTTCTTTTATACTGGTAGCTAGCTTACCCTCACATCTCACCTTCTTCACCCTTATTGCTTTTTTTAAAGTTGTATTGGATTTTTAAAAGGATTGCCAATTCTCTGGCTTCCCACAAATCTTCACCACGTTGTATTTTTTTTTCTTTTGCTTTTATGCTGTCCTGGGTTTCCCTTGTCAGCCATGTTTGCCTCATCCTCCCTTTAATATGCTTCTTCGTTGGGATGAATTTCTGCTGTGCCTCCCAAATTACTCTCGGAAACTCCTGCTATTGCTGCTCCAATGTCTTCCTTCCTAGGATTCCCTTTCAATCAACTCTGGCCAGCTCTCCTTCATGTCTTCGTAGTTACATTTAGCCAATTGTAATACTGTTACATCTGATTCCAGCTTCTCCCTCTCAAAAACGTAGGATGAATTCTATCATATTACAGTGACTGGTATTGGGCTATTTTCCCCTGGAGTGTCAGAGGCTGAGGGGTGACCTTATAGAGGTTTATAAAATAGTGAGGGGCATGGAGAGGGTGAATAGCCAAGGTCTTTTTCCTGGGTTGGGGAAGAGTCCGAAACTAGAGAGCATGAGGGTTATGGTGAGAGGGGAAAGATTTAAAAGGGACCTGTGTGGCTACCTTTTCACACAGAGGATGTGTGGAATGAGCCGCTAGAGGAAGTGGCAGAGGCTGGTACAATTACAACATTTAAAAGGCATCTGGATGGGTACATGAAAAGGAAGGGTCGAGAGGGATATGGGCCAAATGCAGGCAAATGGGACTAGATTTATTTAGGATATCTGGTAGGCGTGGACGAGTTGGACCGGAGGGTCTGTTTCCGCACCGTGCAACTCTATTACACTATGAATTAAGTACGGCAATGAGGAGGGATGCTATCTTGGAAGGATCATTGAAGGAGACCAAATGGGTAAAATCAAAAAAGTCAAAGGGGCAAACATGCAGTTAGGTGTGAACTACAGATCTCCACATAAACACAGCCAGGGAGAGATAGGGGATCAAATATGCAAACAAATTTCAGAAAAGTCCATGAATAAAAAAGCAGTAATAGTAGGGTATGTTAACTACTCAAATATTAACTGAGATCGTTTGAGTGCGCAAGGTATGGAGGAGCAAACAGCCAGGGAATGTTTTGGAGATAGCGACCATAACCTAGATTCATTATGAAACAGGATAAGGATGAGCCATAAACAGAAGTTCTAAACTGGGAAAATGACAATTTTGCTAAGACACAATTTGACCCACGTGGACGTGAAACAGTGTCTTGCAGATAAAATTGTTAGAGCAAAAGGAGACATTCATTTGGGAAATAGCAACAGCACAAGGCAAATTTCTTCCCATAAAGGATGGGACAAAGACCAGAGAACCCTAGTTCTCAAAAGATTAGTTGGTTTGGATTTAGAAAAATAAAGGAAGCTTATGGTCGATAACAGGGTTCAATATGGCAGAATCCCTAGCAGAGTATAAAAGAGGAGGGAAAAATTAAAAAGGAAATTATGAAAGCCAAGAATGCATGAGAAACCACCTGTGAGTAAAATTAAAAAAAGGAAAACCAAAAGGAGTTCTTTCGAAATATATTAAGAGCAAGAGACTAACCAGGGAAAATGTAGGGTCCATTAACTGCACATAGACCTGAAAGAGGTTGGCACAGTCCTCAACGAATACTTCACATCACTCTTCATAAATGGAAGAGGGCAATGCAGATATAGGCATCAGGATGAAAATGTGTGAAGTATTAAGAAATTAACAGAAAACGAGAGAATAGCAAGTTAAAAAGTGGATACATCCACAGGTCTTATCGGCTACACCCCAACATGTCATGGGAAGCTACACAGGAAATATTGAGGGTATGGCGGCCAAATTGAAATCCTTTCTAGTCACCAAAGCAGCACAAGCGGTCCAATTTTATCCCTTATTTTGTTCTAACTTTAAAAGGGCAAAATCTCCAGATTACTGGAGAAATAGATTCCATCTCTGCTGTAAAAATAACTAAAGCCTGAAGAAAGTTAGCTTTTTCTCCTGCCAGTTACTGTCAGCTGTTGCCTTTAACCAGTCACAAAAGACTTCACAATTAGTGCACCAATCACCCTATGCCTCCTGTAAAGAAGGCAAAGAACTTAGAGAAGATGACTCGAAGACAAAAAACTTTGGAAGCAAAAGGAACATTTAATCTATTGGGGATGCTGCGTACTTTGATTGACTCATCAACTCATGGCGACCCTGGGAATTGTGGGGCTTAAGAATTGGCACACTGTCCCCAAGTGGATCAGTCATAGTACTAGAAAATTACATGCCAGTCAGTCTAATTTTGGTAGTGGGGAAGTTTTCAGAAAGAGTTGAGGGACACAATCTATATCAGCACAGATTCGTTAAAGAATGGCCACGATTGACAAATTCGATATTTTTTTTGAGGAGGTAACCAGCAGTGCTGATGAGAGAAATGAATTTGATGTCGTCCACATGGACTTTGCAAGATTTTTGTTAAGGTCTGTTATGGCAGACTGGTCAAGAAAATAAAGAGCCAATGGAATCCAAGACAAAGTGGCACATTGTATCCAAAATTGGTTAAGAGACAAGTAGAGTTTGCTGATAGAGCAATGTTTCCGCGACTGAAAGTTGGTTTCCTGTGGGGGTTTGCAGGGCTCAACGTCAGGGTCTTTGTCATTTGTGGCATACATTAATGATTTGGACTTAAATGTAGGGGTTATAATCAAGATCCTCATGGATGACCTGAAATTAGTAGGGTGGTAAAATAGTGAAGAGGATAGCTATAAAGCTGCAGGAGGATATCAACAGACTGGTCAGGTGGACCCAGCAGTGGCAAATTGAATTCCACTTGGAAAAACATGTGGTAATGCATCTGCGGACAGCTAACAAGGCAAGGGACTACACTATCTGTGGTTAGACCCTGGAAATTACTGAAGATCAGAGGGACTTGGGTGAGCATATCCACAGTGCCAGAAGAGAGCAGTGCAGGTCATTAAGATGGTTAAGGGAGCCCTTCAGCAATTTACATTTTTATTTCAGTTCTCCAGCATCCACAATTCTTTATTTTGCTTTTCCTATAAGCTGTGCCAGAGAAGGGGTCACAATGATACCATTTGAACATTGGACTTCTTGCTTAATAAGTTGCTGCCACACGCTGACCTCTGAGTAGAAGGGGTAAAAACAAGATTGTAAGAACGTTGATCTAAAGAATGAGGAGAGATTGGATGGCTGATATTGTTTTCCTTGGAGCAATGATGATACCTGATGATTGAGGATTATTGATATTATTTTTCATTAGTTGAGGAGTTAATGCCCAGGCCATAGATTTAAAGTAAGAGGTAGAAGACGAAGGGGAGAGTTGAGGAGGCATTTTTCCATTGAGAGAGTGATGACAGTCAGGAAATCACTGTCTGAGAAAAAGCTAGTTGAGTCAGAAACTCTTAACATTTAGGCAATATTTAGATATTAGCTTGCATTGTCATAACCTCCAAGGCTTTGGGCCAAGAGCAGGAAAATGGGATTAGTGTAGTCAATCTTTGTTGACTTCCATGGGCACAATCTCCATCTGGCTGTAACGCTGCGTCTTTGAGAAATGTTTCAACACCTACACAAGTAGTCTTTAGACAACGACATTTCACAACGTTTCAAGTCAAATTCCAGCAATGGGAGTTTCTGAAAATTTTTGCATTAAAGAACTTTCAAGCAAAGAAAAAAAGCACACTAATCTTGGTCTTACTTTTATCATCAGCGTACATATCCTCAAAAGCAAATTCCATCTCCCTCTGCCGATCTTCTTTTACTTGCACACATCTATACGGTGGCTCAAACAATTGGGGTGGCATCTGAGCTACAGTCTGCCTTCTATGTGCCAGATCAGCTTGTTGCATTTCTCCAAGTTCCTTCACCAGTTTCTCTCTATCCTGGAGGTGAAGGTGATAAAATATTTAACATGCATCGTGAAGTCCTATATAACACAAATAACGACACCACAAATTAATTTATAGCACAGGATCTTACAGCTCCTATTAAAGGAAATCTTTATTGAACTACATAGTTGCCCTTTTCTACAAAGCAATGTACTTTTGTTCCATTTTGTGAAAATAATTTGAAAGGATTAAATCATTTAATCATTAAATCATTAAATCAATTAGCAATAAGTGTTTTTAGAACTGGAATAAAACATGAGCAGAGCCAAAGAATAGCAGATATAAAGAGACAGAAGGATTGAAAATCAACAAACCTCAACAGCACAATCAAAGCCAGAAAATGTGGGAAATATTTGAAGAGACCAGGAGGTAGTCCAGATTGTATGAATCAATAAGGTACAAGAAGTCAATGGATAAAAGAACAATGCCTGTTACATGTCCTGCAGGAACCACGTAAACTAATACAGGTCATCGGTTTGACATGCAATCTTAAGTTGACAATAATAGAATTGGGTTAAGGTATCTAAATCTGACTTAAGGTGTATATAAAGAATAAGCACTAGTGGTTTTTGAGAGTACCGCTCGAGTGCTCAAGACAGAATGTCCCTACGAGCGCTAATAAACAACCTTGATATGTACCTGAGTTGCCAGGTCGTGTGTTTCATTCCAACAAATTCAAACGATAAGTAAAGGAGGAAGGCAATTACAAATTGAGATCTCTCTTTAAAAAAAGAAAATGTGAAGTTTGGCAAGTTTGAGAACAACAAATACAGTTCTAGACACAAATAGACCACAAAACAACTACTGGTAAATGAATTGTGGCATAGATATAACAGCAGGGAGGTCATGTTTGAGCTGTAAAAAACTTTGGTTAGGCAGAGTTCTGGTCACCACACTGCAGAAAAGGATGTGATTGAACTGGAGGGAATGCAGAGAAGATTCACTGAGATGGGAGTATTTCAGCTATGAAGACAGGCTGGATAAGCTTGGGTTTTATTTGGAGCAGAGAAGATTGAGGGGGAACCTAGTAGTGTGGTACAAGATCACAAGGGGCATGGAAAGGGTGGATAGAAAGCAGATGTTCCTCTTAGTTGAAAAATCAATCACAAGGGAGCATAATTTTAATTTTAAAGTGAAAGTCAAGAGGTTTAGAGGGGATTTGGGGAAAAGACCTTTTCAGCAAGAGTGGTGGTGTCTGGATGGGTACTGGAGACAGGAAGCCACAATCTTTCTTAAACAAAAAGTACTGTGACAAGCAGTTGAAGTGTCATAACATTCAAGGCATGGGCATATTGTGGGAGAGTGGGATTAGTGTAGGTAGTGGTATATTTTTGGAGGGACCAATCTAATAGGCCAACAGGATGGCTAGTACAGAATATACATCAATTTCACAAGAGGTGGACAACTCTGAGAATGTAATCTCAACAGGCAACACCAAAAGTGTGCTGGCTGCAAATCTAAAAGCTATTAAACTTCTAAGAATTCGGCACATCTTGGTGAAACAGGAGCTGGACATGACAAATATGTAGTTGAGTCCCTACAGATATTTTAGAATTATTTAACTTCCATCAAGCAATTCCACTGCATCTGCAACCCCCAAAAAAATGCCCCCAACTCAGATTTTGAGTCAGAAGTTTAAAAAGGTAGGTAGAGGATGAGTGATTGGGGAACCAGTCTTATAGTTTGCCAGGAAAGGAAATGGAACTAAATACAATTTAGCTCTTGGCTAACTAAAGAACAGGCTCCTCAAACACTCACCCGCCACTCAAAGATCTTCCAACAATAGATGCCACTGACAAAAGATATAGCACCTGACTCTAACCCCATTATTCAATGAGCCAACTACCCCCTACCAAACTTTATTGAAGCACCGCACTGACCTCTGCCCAACTGACTCCTTTGTTTGCTCGCCAGTGCCCTCACCAAACTGACACTCATGACCTCTGCCCCAGTAAAAACTCACACTTGGTCCACCCACCTTCAGCTGCCAGCTAATCACCCTCATGCCTATCCCTCCACCCACCTACCGACTTTCATGGTCCCCCCTGCCAAGCCAAACCTCAAAAACCTGCTGTAACAACTTGCATACCACTAAAATGTCATCCTCAAGATTTCTCCAAAACATCTCAACCAACCGTTCTCAACTCATGCCCACCTCCCCCACCCCTCCCACTGGCTATGTTCAAAAAGGTTCCTGTCCTCCCCCTAAGGATTCCTCCCCTCCCCCTAAGGATTCCTCCCACCCAGAATCACCTACTCAATCCACTCTGCTCAGCAAAACCCAGCCCAAATGACTGTGGGCCAGATGCCTCAAATGCCTGACAAACTCCCTCAGCCTGCTCACCCCGCTACTTCAAACAAAATCCTTTAGACCCATTCACAAACAACGGTCACCTACATTCAGGTCATCCCAAACTTCCTCCCAACAACTACACAACTTGATCCCTACTCACCTGCCTCCAGACAGCCTCCTTCACACACCATCCCAACAGCCAATTAAACACAACGCCCTGTCCAACCAACCCCCAACTGTAGGGCCTTGCGTATGGTAATTTCTAATGGAAAATTTTTTTTTAAATTCATTCACAGGATGAGGGCTTCGCTGGCTAGGCAGCATTTATTGCCCATCCCCAATTGCCCAGAGGGCAGTTAAGAGTCAACCGCATTGCTGTGGGTCTGGAGTCATATGTAGGCCAGACCAGGTAAGGGTGGCAGTTTCCTTCCCTAAAGGACATTAGTGAACCAGATGGGTTTTTCCAACAATCGACAATGGTTTCATGGTCATCATTAGACTCTTAATTCCAGATATTTATTGAATTCAAATTCCACCATCTACTGTGGCAGGATTCGAACCTGGGTCGCCAAAACATTATCTGGGTCTCTGGATTAACAGTCCGGTGACAATACCACTAGCTATCGCCTCCCCCAAAAAGTATTGTGTTAGTTCCATAATCAGACAACACCATACAATCAACACCCAAACAGAACTGCACCCATCATGAATGCTATCCCCTGATAATAGATCACACATCACCAACACTAAATGTCAAATCATACAGCCAAACAACCAAACCCCATGTTCTCTCACCTACTTCACTGCCACCTGTTTCTCCTCTTTCACAATAAAACAATATGGATTAGATAGGATTGCTATTTCAATCCTGACCTCACTCAAAAATTAGTACTGGGTTGTACTATCCATTTTTTGAACACTTACTGAGTTTATGGATAGTGGCCGAGTACCTGTATTAAATGAACTAGTTGGAGAGCACGGCTGCCTCGCAATCTAGCTTTCTCCAACTGCTCCAGTCTCTCCATCTCAGCTTCTTGTTGCAAATCCTCCAAGCGCTCTGCTTCCTCTTGAGCAGTCAGTTCAGCACTAAGCTGTTGAAACAGAGTTTAAGTAAAGTAAAAATGCGAAGTAAACTTGTGAATATACCCCAAGACAGACCAGATGTCAGAATATCTTGTGATAAGCTACGTCACCTAACCTATTCAGATTGGTTTGCACAGTATATATTAAACAGGTCGCTCAGAAACTTTGAACTATAATAATAGGTGATATTTCCATGAGAAGAGATACTCAGAAATCCCAAACTTTGTTTTGTTTACAACCAAGTAAATGGTCAAATGTGCAGCTATAGCCAGCAGTCACAGCCTCCATAAAATTTTAAAAAGAAAAAAGATTCTTCAATCCAAGTTGCTACTTACTTCTATCATTGCTTTTATTCTATTAAACCTTTACTCCACCACAATGGAGTTTGGCTCTTGACAGACATTTAAGAAATTGAGAAGCAGGAAGATTAGGATTAGGCATTGCACTGCCACCCAGTACAACACTTCTAAACTTGCTGTATTGAAATCACCAATGCATCACAACGCCAGTAAGTTGAACTGATATGAAAAAGCAAGTTTGCAGCTTGATTTTCTTTTGCTTCCCAAGAGCACAGTCAGGGCACAGATTTTCACAAAGACAAAACCATGTTAGTGAATTCATTATCCTCTTTGGAGTCACAACATAGACATGAATGAGGTCTCAGGAATGATATTTGGGCCCAGGCTAAAAAGAGAATGCAAAGCTGGCAAAGACTCAAAGGGCACTTATACTTCTCACCCTTAACCTACCAAAAAAAGAGAGAAAATGAACCAAACAGGCTCATTGCTCCCTTAAAAAAAAAGAGGCCAGTTTAAGTACCAGCCATTTAATGGAGAAGTGATGTCATACATGTAAGTACCTAATTCTACCTTTGTGTAATTTTCAAACAGATTTATAAATGGATTGTAACTGATAAGTAAGTGAAGTTTCAAGCACTTGTATAATTGTTATATGGCTTCCGGGAGGTGATTTTAGGACTAGGATCATGTGCAAGTACAGACAATGAAGGAACTCCCTATTTGAAGAAAAGCAATTCATACAACCTTTTGGTTAGATGGCTGAATGATAGAATCCTAGACAAGTAAATGTTACGTTAGTTACTGTATGACCAGAGATTCTCAAGATTAAAATTATCTATCTTCTAACAATTTACTTGATTCTTAGCTGCTTTGTGCATTTGAATTAGTGTGTTGAATGCTCTTGCTATCGCCAAATTTGATGTTGCATTATAATGAAAAATACTGTCAAACAAAAAGACACTTCTTAACATCAATGAATTTCATTTTCAAAATAAACAGGAAAAGAACAATTATAAAACCGAGGATTACTGTATTTTGAAAAACAAGTAACCTGATTTGGATTTTAAACATCATTTATACAACTACAGCAGCTGAAATGTGAATTGCAGATAAGCTGGAGCTGAGGGATTCAGTACAGATGGAGCTACAATTGGCCACAACTGATTGATCGATTTGTGAACTCATAACCAGTTATCAATGATAAAGGCTACTTGCTTCCCAACGTTATTGGTTCTTAGGTAGCTGAACAGCCTGGGGCTCTGAACAAGATACTGAGGAGTCATTAGAACTCCAACAGCACAGGAGCTCTGTCACTGTTCTCTGCAGTAAGAGGAATGTTACACTCAAAGAAGCCTCATTTCTTACTTTGAGTCACTGTAAACTTTTTTACTTTTTCATTCACAGGATGTGGGCATTGCTGGCTAGGCCAGCATTTACTGCCCATCCTCAATTACCCAGAGGACAGTTAGAACAGTACAGGCCCTTCGGCCCACGATGTTGTGCTGACCTATTATCCTAAGACCAATCTACCTGCGTACCCTACATTTTACTATCCTCCATGTGCCTATCAAAGAGTTGTTTAAAAGTCTCTAAAGTATCTGATTCCACTACCACTGCCAGCAGAGCATTCCACACGCCCACCACTCTGTGTGAAGAACCTACCTCTGACACCTCCCCTATACCTTCCTCCAATCACCTTAAAATTATGTCCCCTCATGATAGCCATTTCTGCCCTGGGAAAAAGTCTCTGGCTATCCACTCTATCTATGCCTCTCATCATCTTGTACACCTCTATCAAGTCACCCCTCGTCCTTCTTCGCTCCAATGAAAAAAGCCCTAGCTCCCTCAACCTTTCCTCATAAGACCTGCCCTCCAGTCCAGGCAGCATCCTGGTAAATCTCCTCTGCTCCCTCTCTAAAGCTTCCACATCTTTCCTGTAATGAGGTGACCAGAACTGAACACAATATTCCAAGTGTGGTCTAACCAGAGTTTTATAGAGCAGGAGTATAACCTCGCAGCTCTTAAACTCAATTCCCCTGCCAACGAAAGCCAACACGTGTTGCACATGTGTGTGGGGCAAGGCTGAGTTGATAAGTGGAAGAGAGCTTTAATTAGTAGAGTTACTGAAATAATTGCACAGAGGCCAGTGTTCCGTCACCAAATCACCCTTTACTTTCTAATGCACAGACATTTTCCTAGGGTGGAGGTAGTTATTACGAGGGGGCATAGTTTTAAAGTGAGAGGAGGTAGATATAGCGGAGACGTTAGAGGTAGGTTCTTTACTCAGAGAGTGGTCGGGACTTGGAATGCATTGCCAGAGAGGGTAGTGGAGTCAGCCTCATTAGGGGCATTTAAGCAGCTATTAGATAGGCATATGGATGATAGTATAAGGTAGGGGTGGAGGTGAGATAGACCTTAGGTTTGGGTAAAAGTTCGGCACAACATCGTGGGCTGACTGGCCGGTACTGTGCTGTACTGTTCTCTGTTCTATGTTCTACACCATACGCCTTCTTAATAGCCCTATCAACTTGGGTAGCAACTTTGAGGATCTATGGACGTGGACCCCAAGATCCCTCTGTTCCTCCACACTGCCGAGAATCCTGCCATTAACTCTGTATTCTGCATTCAAATTCAACCTTCCAAAATGAATCACTTCACACTTTTCTGGGTTGAATTCCATCTGCCACTTCTTTGCCCAGCTCTGCATCCTGTCAATGTCCCGTTGCAATCTACAACAGCCCTCCATGCTGTCCACAACTCCACCAACCTTCGTGCCATTGGCAAACTTACTAACCCACCCTTCCATTTCCTCATCCAAGTCATTTATAAAGGTCACAAGGAGCAGAGGTCCCAGAACAGCTCCCACACTGATGTGGCTCTGGGGTCACATGTCAGCCAGACCAGTTAAGGATGGCAGTTTCCTCCCCAAAAGGACATTAGTGAACCAATGGGTTTTTCTGACCATCAGCAATGGTTTCACAGTTATCGTTAGACTCTTAATTCTAGATATTTATTGAATTCAAATTCCACTATCTGCCATGGCAGGATTCGAACCTGAGTCCACAGAAGTACGGCTGGTTCTCTTGATAATACCACTGGGGTCATCACCTCTCCATGACTTTAAGTCAGAGACCTTTTACAAAACGTGTGGACTGCTTCCCTGTGGCTACTGCAAACCAGTGAAAGCATCTGAGAAGGAAGACCGAGAAGCAGTAGAAGACCCACCAGCACAAGCAGCATAAGCGGCAATATGGCTCAGTGGTTAGCACTGCAGCCTCACAGCACCAGGGACCCAGGTTCGATTCCACCCTCGGGTGACTGTCTGTGTGGAGTTTGCACGTTCTCCCCGTGTCTGCGTGGGTTTCCTCCCACAGTCCAAAGATGTGCAGGCTAGGTGGATTGGCCATGCTAAATTGCCTGTAGTGTTCAGGGAGGTGTAGATTAGGTGGGTTATAGGGAAATGGGTCTGGGTGGGATGCTCCGAGATTCGGTGTGGACTTGTTGGGCCTGTTTCCACACCGTAGGGATTCTATAACAATGAACTCAGCAACCAATGAACAACCTTCCCAGTCTTTTATCCCGTCCATAAAACAGATGATTATGTGGTGCAGACGGGAGTGTATGCTAGTGTGCGCATGCGTGTAGGGCAAGGCTGAGTTGATAAGTGTTCCGAGAGCTTTAATTAGTAGAGTTACTGAAATAAGTGCACAGAGGCCACTGTTCTGTCACCAAATCACCTTCACTTTCTAATGCACAGCACCCTGGCTGTGGCCAGCCAACTCAGAGTCCATCCTCATCTGAGGAGATTCTCATCTCCTGATTATATTAGTCAGCCAGGGCTTTCCTGATTGCAGTTGTTAACCTGGGCCAATCAGATCCTCATAGTTAACAAGGCTCCCCTCGTTCCAGATCAGTTACATGCAGATGGTTCATAACGGCCTACCTGTAGCTTCTGACCAATTACTTGTAACAAACAGTAATTTTTGTTAAGTCCAGAAACCTGGTCCATGCTGTCAACCTGGGTCTAAGGACCAAATTAAGGAATTTTGCATACTTTCTAAAGTTTAACTTTGGTGACAACTCCAAGAATCAGGGATTCCATTTCCAACACACTATCCAAGTCGTAACATTGACCACTTGAGTATCCCCACCTCAACTGCAACATAAATTCAGTGAGGGCTTCCACCTAAAGGACTCAAAACTCTCGTAACAAAAACAAAGTTGCTGGATAAGTTCAGCAGGTCTGGCAGCATCTGCGAAGGGAAAAAACAGAGTGAACATTTCGGGTCCAGTAACCCTTCCTCAGAACTACAGAATTCCGAGGAAGGGTCACCAGACCCGAAACGTTAACTCTGTTTTCTCCTTCACAGATGCTGCCAGACCTGCTGAGCTTATCCAGCAACTTTGTTTTTGTTCCCGATTTACAGCATCCGCAATTCTTTTAGTTCTCAAAACGCTCATGCTTATTATTGTGTGCTTCAAATGTCAGTCAGAAGTGATAGCAGAAGTAGTAATGCAAAGATTAGAATGAGAGATGTTTCCAGTAAACCACAAATAAAGCAGTCCTGAAAAACCACTCGAGTATAATTTATTTTCTATTTGTCATGATAAACATATTCTGTTAAACTTGCAAGAACACACTCATACCTGGATTAGGTCTTGTAACTACTCAGTATTAGTAAACCTTTACATGAAGTTGAGAAAATATTCTGCTACAAAACCCAAGAACATACTAAACATACTGATACATTTTTGATGGATAATGAGAAAAGGAAAAGTTGAGATCAAGGCAAGAGGGATACACAAATACATGGACAGCAAGGGACACCATGATAAAGGAAAACACAAAATGGACAAGTAAATAAGACAAGCATTTTAGGAAGGCAAGCAGGATTGACAAAGCTAAATTATTCAAGGTGTACAATACTTCACAGGCACATACCAAGAAAAAGTCAAGATGAGAATAGGACCACGAAGGGATGAACAGAAATCTTCAGGGAAAAAGTGTGGGTAAAAAATTTGGTAGAAACATTAAATACCTACTTAGTTTCAGTATTAACCAAGGATACATCAGACAATGAGATTAGAATTAATAACTGAAAACTGAAATTGATAATACATAAACAAACCAAATTCAGAAGGGGGTAAATCTCCTGGTCCAAACAGATTATGCCCATGCATGCACATCAAAATTGGAAGCTGGTCTGTCTCTATTGTATTATACACCAATGATACTGCACCTGAGAATATGTGCATTGCTGAGAGAATTGGCAATATTATATTTAAAATTGGAAGGGAACACATCCAGGAAACTATAAACATTCAAATTAACTGTGATGAGAAAGCACTTGAGTCTCTGTTGAAGGAGAAAATAGAAAAACAGGTAGAATCAATGGAAGAATGATTTTAAAAAGTCAGCATGATTTCAAAAAATCTTATGTGACTAACATTATTGAATTCTTGGATGACATATTACATCTAGATTTCCAAAAGACCCTGGTTAAGGTGCCCCCAATAGAAAAACAAATAAGATCAAAAACGTCCGATGGCAAGTTGCATAATGTATAGCCAGCTGGTTTTAAGACAGAAAAAGCTAAGCGTAAAAGGGAGCAATTCAGAGTGGAGGAAGGTGAAAATGGCATATTTTCACAGTATACAGCAAACTAAATAATTTCCAAATGTGCAATACCAAACCAATTGGGAAAGTGCAGACTACATCACTGAATAGGCGGAATGGACACACAGCTAGCAGATGACATTGAGCACGAATAAGTGAGGTACAATTTTTAAGAAAAAAATAAAGTCACATAGTCCACTTGTGCAAAGGCTATGGTATTGTGGTAATGTCAATAGACTTGTAATCCAAATTCCTAGAATAATGTTCGAATCCTGCCATGGTAGATGGTAAGGTTTAAAATTCAATCAAAAACAAAAATGTAAAATTTCAAGAACAAAAAGGCAGTCTAAGGATGATCATGTAACCACTGTCAACTGTCATAAAAAACACATATAACTCATTATGTCCTTCCAGGAAAGAAACCCCCTTCCTTACCTAGTCTGGCACATATAAATGCAAAGTCACAATGTGGTTGACTCTTAAGTGATTTTTAAAATAGCCTGTCAAGGCACTCCATTCAAATCCATTACAGGATTGCAATAAATGCTGGCCCAGCCAGCGGCACCTACACCCAATGAATAAAGCAAAACTTGGAAAATACAAATCTAAATACAGTGGATGAAAAACAAGGAACTAGAAGTACAAAACACTTAAAATTTGTGATGCAGTTCAAAAAAAACCCTAAGTGCAGCAAAAAACACACTAGGGTTTATCTGGAGACGAGTAAGATTTAAAAATAGAGAGAGATAGAAAGCATATTAAGTTAGAATACATTTGAAATAACAGCAAACTTTGTTTTAACTGACACATTATGAACCAGCACTCCTGATGAACCAACAATTACATACTTCAAATACCGGAAATTTACTATATTATCACAATCTACACAGTGTCTGAGTTCGTTTTTAGTAATTCACAGGAAGGCGGCGTCCACCCCTAATTACCAAGAGGACAGTTAAGAGTCTGGACTCACATGTAGGCCAAACTAAGTCAGGATGGCAGTTTCTCTCCCTCAAGGGCATTAGTGAACTAGACAATTGACAATGGATTCATTGTTATCATTAGACTTTTAATTCCAGATTTTTACTGAATTCAAATTCCACCATCTGCTGTGGCAGGATTCAAACCAAGGTCCCCAGAACATTATTTAAATCTCTGGATTAACAGCCTAGCTAAAAAAAACCCACTAGGTCGTTGCATCCCCAAGTAGTCAGTTGAGGGTGCAAGTGAGAAAGCTCTCTGTTGGTAGGTTTTATTTGACTTTTGCTGTAAATAAGAGTGATGTGTATACCCCCTGCATTATATTTCTATTACTTAGTATGTGTTTTTACATTGATTATGTGGATCTTTTGATCAACTGGAATATTTGATTAACTGGCACACACTTGGTCCCTTAAGTGCCAGTTAATAAAAAACATTTGCTGCACTATTAAAGGACAAAAGCATTGGAGATGATGCAAAAAAAATTTCAAAAGGATGATATCTGGAATGAGAGAAGTTGTACTCATCAGGAAAGGATGGGACATGCAATATTTCTCTTCTTATGCAATGAGAAAACTCTTAGGGATGACTGAATGCAGATCTTAAATTCTGAAAAGATTTTGATAGCATGGGCACAGGAAATGTTTTCAATATGGGTAAAGCAAAATGAGGAGGTCACTAAATCTGAGCTAGTTATCTAGGAATCAAAGCAAACCAAAAGAAACGCCAACAAGAAGCTGCAGTGATAATGTGCAATTTTCCACCGTGAAGTGGTTCAGGAGATTCTAAGTAACTTTTAAGGGGAGGCTGGATAAGCATTTCAGAAAGAAAGGGATACAGTGTTACATTGATGGATTTAAATGAGTAATGATGAGAGAATGCTCAAGTGGAGGAAATATCAGCATGGGTTGGTCTCTTTGCTGTGTATTCTATGTAATAAATAAGCTATTTATTTGTATTCAAATAATTCAGATACCTGTTGTGTGTCACTTTCTCGGTCCACACAAGGTTCAGGCAAATGGTAGTGTGTCACAGAGAAGCTGTCAATATCGTACATCTTCACTGCTGGATAGTTTTGCACTTCAAGATCCTATCGTTTAAAAGAAAAGTCGTAAAGTTGTTTCCACAAAAATGAATGGCATTATTGAAAATAGATTTTTTAAAAGCAAGCATTACATTTTGGAAATTATTTTTGTTCAAAATGAATTTGCTTTGTACTACCTTTAACAGGAACAGTATCAGATACCACTAATAACAAATAATCTTCTGACCAAGTTCAAAGAAACATTCATATTTCCAGTGCAACTACTTTTTAGGTTCAGTTCAAACAGGCCAAAGTTTGGGAGGAAATGCAACAGTAATAAAACCAACATCAAGGGTATTTTTAAATTACGAATCTTAACATCCAAATTGAAACTACTTATCTTTCTTATCATAATTCTCTTTCTAGTTTGGATTTCATTTTCCACTCTGCCCCTTCACGTTTTGAAAAGTTAAATAATCTACTTGTGACTTGACTCTGTTGTTATGCACAAATCAAGTTTATAGGACAATTGGCAGCGTTCCTTGCAACTTCACAGCTCATTCTCATTTCATTTGTCCGATCTCCGAGGGCAAACAAACAACTCCTCAGTTTCCTAGTTGAAGGAATAATTGCCCTGCTTTACAAAAAGAGACCAAACTAAATACGGCTACCCTAACCTTGGAGGTAACAATCAAAGCGTTTCAGTAACTGGTGGAATTTTGGATAATTTGAGAGGACAAAGAGTGCAAAACTACATTCCCATGACATTTGGAGGGTAAAAAAGGAAAAGGGTCAAAAAATTATTTAAATCTTAGAAATATTATTGCACAGCAAGTTGACCACAGCATTTGAAGAAATTGGTTGTTTACTTGACCATCTTCAGAAGGAAGGTAAACAAAAAAAAAGCTCATGAAGGGAATTGGTTTTAACTCTTCTATAAATGAAGCTCAGCTAACTCAAGTTTTAGATTATATTGTATCTCAGTACAACTGAGCATAGACTGCTGGCAGTTTGGCAAGGAGAAACAGGTGCCTCTAGGCTTTACTTTAAAACAAAAAGCTTTTCCACTTTCAGAATTGAGTCATACACTCACCCTTCAGTAGGTGAATAAGTTAGTGAATAATTCTATCTTCTCTACTCTAATTTCCAATTTACAGTAAATAGTTCAAAGATAAGCTTAAGGTATATCAGGGAAGCATGGCTAAGCAAAATGCCCATTCTGCATTAGAGGGTCATGGACATTTCATGTGAATAGACAAGCAAAGGAAGGGTCACCAGTTGTAAAAACTTCAGCTGAGTTTCAGAACTCAAGTAATAACTGTAGACCCTGTGTTGCAGTCACAAGACAGAAGACGACTTGAATGGGTTGCTTAGGGTGGTGCTACCACCCTAGGACATGCAGGAAACTAGTGAATGAATGACCACTAGGTAGTTCTAGAGACCCAGGCAGGTAATGCAGAAGTCCCCCAAGATGATTTTGCTCACTAATCAGTTTTCCGTTCAGGATAATGGGGAAGGTAATAATTCCTCTGAGTAGTGCAGGAAGAGCCAAGCCCGCAGCACTGCGGATGGCCGAGCTATCCAGGAAGAAAAGAAGAGTGAAAAAGCTTGTGTAGAGTAATTGCGAATTGGAAGGCGGGAAGCTAGAATTTGTTTGTCAAAAAAAGATAATGCAGAAGACCACGTGGTTCCTTAAAGTGGTAAAGTGCTAAAGTGCTTTTCTAAGATTAGAGATTTATACAGAAAAAAAAACTGTCTATGTAGCTGAAGATGTACAGCCAGTTCTGAAATTGAAACATTTATTAATTGGTTGTGTGATTGGAAACCTTAGGCTCGTTTTGAAGTTTTGGCAATGAGCTGGAGTCAGCCAATAAATTTAAACCAAGCACTTAGTGATTAAAAGCCAATTGAATTTAAATCTGATGGTTTTGGCAACCTCAGACAGATGCTATTGTAAGAAAATTGATATGTCATCCAAGATAGATAAGGAGAGGGTTTTTGAAGTTCGATGCGAGAGCATCTATCTCTCACAAGGAATCAAAGCTCTCTAAAATAGTACCATCTAACCATAAAAGGTACCACGGCGCTCTAGCTAGGAGTCCTCACAGAAGACTTCACGGAGAAAACATCCCAGATAGCTGGATCAGCAGAAGAAAGACGTGTAGACTTTGAGAGACTAAGTTTTAATTTATTTTCTTATTACTTGGGTTTATATAAGTGGGACTTGTGCTTTTTGGAACAGCATACCAGTAGAATTTAGTTCAGTTAGGGGGCAGTTAGTAGTTAAGGGGGAATTGTTCAGTTTGTTAGTAATTTTGTTAATTTGTTCACTGTTAGGCTTAAATAAATAAATACACTGTTACTTATAGAATGAATATCAGGCAGTTTCTTTCATTCAACCACTTTTTAAAAACAGATTATAAAGGTGATGCGAGCTTCTCTGGGTGTTTCAGGTTTAATTATTAGAAGGGAACCTCTACTCCCAATGTCACACACTGGGGGCTTTGGTTTTGGTTTAATTATCAGCAGGGTTCAACCTGTTATTAACTGTACAAACATACATGTGCCCATGGTTGCAACTCCAGGATAATATGTTGCCTTCAAGGTCAATGATGTTGCATAGCAGCTGCACAACATTCTTCTGGGAGAGTGATCAAACCACATGGAATCCACACTGCTACCAACAACATAGATAATAAGTAGGATGTGGTCCTGTAGTTTGAATTTAGGGAGCTAGGTTTAAAAAAAGTAAGCAGCACTTCATCAGTAGTTATCGCTAGATTACTTTCAGTAAGTACAGAAATAGAAGGATATACCAGATAAGTGTGTGGTTGTCAAGATGGGACAGAAGGAAGGGTTTTAGATTCCCAGGACATAGGACAGGCTCTGGGTGAGATGCCTCTTGTACAAGCTGGAGCTAAGTTGGGACCAATTTCCTTGCATTTGCTAGAACTGTCAGGAAGGGATTTAAAAAAAAAAATTGGCAGATGAGAGAGAACCAAGACAATCAGAAAGGAATACCACTGTATGTAGAAACCTAGGAGACAGATAGTAACAAAGTTAATGGATGGAGTTGGAATAAGAGAGAAATTTCACCTTTAAACCATTGTTAGAGTATATGTATGAGAAAGCAAAAGTTATAGAAAATAAAATGGTGAGCTACAGATTGCCATGTGGAATTATCATGTGGGAATAAAAGACCTAGCTCAAGAGGGAGAGGATGGGGTTAAATATTCCTGGAAACAAGAAATTCAGGAGAGGAAAGGGTGGTAGTACTGAATAAGAAGAGTATTGCTGTGTTGAAGAAAGAATATCAGACAGTTCAAGGACAGAATAAACTTCGCTGCAGCCAAGGAACAAGAAGGATGCAACTGCTTGGTGTAATCTGTAGATCAGAGTAAGATAGATGTAAAAGAAGAAATCTGCAATGAAAATACAGAAGACATGCCTTGTACGTGGCAAGAATATAGTTATAATAGGGTAAGTTTAAGTATCCAACTATATACTGGGATTGTGATAGTGCTAAGTGCAGGGAGACAAATGTTCTTAGATCGAGGTCAGGGAGAATTTTCTCTAAAGGAGACACTGCTAGACCTTGTTTTTGGAAAGCAAGTGGGCCAAATCGATCAGGTCTCAATACTGAGGGGGACAGGTGATTATTGTATTGGAAGGTTTAGGATGACACTTCAAAAGAAGAATCCACTATCCAAAACAAGAATAACTAAATGAGACTTCAAATGAGGTAAGAACAGAGGTGAGCTGGACTGAAGACAATATTGGCAGGAAAACCTATAGCTGAACAATGGGCTACCTTCAAAGTAGTAGTAGTTTATGCAATGTGGAAATAATTACCTCAAAAGGGAAAGGTAGGGCAAACAAATCTAGGAGTCACTGGATTAAAAAATGGAGACAAGCTGAGGAAAGTGTGTTAATGATAGGTGTGAACACAAAAGAAGCAAAGAGGGATTATTAAATAGAGACTGGCAGCCAACATAAAGGTGGTCTCAAAATCCTTTGTAGGCATATAAAAGGGTGGCAAAGAGGAGCAGAGCCAATTAGGGATAGAAAAAAGGGGGTTTACACATGGTAAAGACAGATGCAAGGTATTAATTTAACACCTTTGCCAAACCCCGTTTTGCCAACAAAGATAATGCTACTCATGCCCCTGGTGATAAAAGAGCGAATTGAGTCTCAATAACAGTTCAAAATTACTGGAGTTACTGGATAAGCTGCCAGTATTTAAAAGCTGGCAAGGTAGTGGAACTGGATAAGATGTATTCGAGGGTATGGAGAGATGAATATGGAAATTGCAGAGGCACTGACCATAAATTTCTCCTTAGATTCAGGGTGGCACCAGAAGCCTAAAAAATTGTAACATGATATCCAGTAAAAGGCTGCCAGCATAAGTCCAGTGATTACAGACCAGTTTAACATTGTGGGAACCTGCAAAACAGTAATTAAGGATGGAATTAATTGTCACATGGACAAACATGGGTTCGTAAATGAAAGCCCGTCATGGATTTGTTAAGGGAAAAATCACATTTGACTAACATGGGGTTGTTTAGAGAGGGGGTTGATGAGGACAATGGGTTCCAGATAAAGTTCAACAAGCACATATGCAAGGTGATGTATTGTTGGAAAAAAAAATCTAACATAGTATAAACTAAAAGGGTACTTAAAGGAAGTGCACAGAAATAGGGACACCTAGGCACATGTGTACACACATATGTACGTACGTATGTATAAGTCATTAAAGGTAGCAGGACAGGTGGAGACAGCAATTTTACTTCAATTCATTCACAGGATGATTTTTGACGCAACAACAAAAGTGCAATATAGTTCTAAGTCATGATGATGTGCAACATGGAAACAAACATGCCAGTGGTGTTCTGGAGGGGCTGTAGAGGGTGAGCAAACTGACCATGGTACAGGGAGCCATTATATATATAGTTGTAACAGGGGTTACTACAGTCACGGGAAAAGACCCCGTTCTGCGACCAGGATGAAAAGCACCAAAGGCTGCGTTACCTGCCTGGTGCCTGTGTTCATGATATCTCATGTCAGTTCTAAGGGAACTTAGAATGGGAGAGGAAAGATCCAGTTATTATGGTCCATATAGGTATAAACAACATAGTTAGAAAGAGGAAACAGGTTCTGCTGAGGGAATATGAGCAGGTGGGGTCTACATTAAAAAGCAGAACTAAATAGGTACCCTCCAGATTACTACCTGAGACTTGAGCTAATTGGCAGAGTCAACATGATTGAAGAGGTAAAAGCATGGTTCAAAGATTGATAATGGGAGGAATGGGTTGGAATTCACTGGATACTGGCACCAGTAGTGGGAAGGAGGAAGCTCTTTTAATGGGAAGAGTTTGACCTGAATCACGCTGGGGCCAGAGTCCTTATGAATCACGGAACTAGGGCTGGAGATAGGTCTTTAAATTAAATTGCTGGGGTGGGGGAATGGGGATCTCATTGCATATAAGATCAGGAAATCAAAGTTAAAAGGGGGAGGTAGGAGTGCAAGTTAGTGATGAGGTTAATTGTTACCAGAAAATAAAAAAATACCTACACCAAGGAATCATAGAAGAGTAGGGAAATGTGATAACAGAACAAACTTAAAGGCTTTTTGCATCCGAATGTATGAAGCAATCAGAACAAAATTAATGAGTTAACAGCACAAATAAAAAGGTAAATAGGCATGATATGGTGCTGATCAAAAGGTGGCTGCAGGGAAACCAAGTTTGGGAATTCAATATCCAAGAGCATTCAGTGTTTCAGAAGGATAGGCAGAATGGAAAAGGTGCTGCTAAGTCTTTGTCAGTAAAGGACAAGATCAGTGCTGTCGTGAGAAGTGATATCAGCACTGGAGATCAAGATGTTGAATCAGTCTGGGTTAAATTAAAGAAATAACAAGGGAAAGAAGTCCCTGGTGAGTATAATCTATAGGTCCCCAAACAGTAGTCCTGCAGTGCGGCACTGTATAAACCAGGAAATACTGCAGCCTTGTAAGAAAATGGTACAACTGTAAATATTGGTAATTTTAATACACATAATAGACTGGAGCGATCAAAGTGGCAAGGGTTGCCTTGAGGGAGGGTTCATTGGTTCTACAACATATTGCTCCAAGAACGAATCAGGGAGCCAGCTATTTTAGATTTGGTATTGTGCGAAGACAGCTCAGCAATGGTATTAATTAACGATCTTATAAGAAAGGATCCTCCAAGGAAGAGTGACCATAGCATGCCATAATTTCAAACTCACTTGGAGGACAAGAAACTGGAGTCCCGCACTAGCATTCTGGAGTTAAACAGGCACAGAACAGATTTGGCCCCAGTGAACTGGGAAAGGAAGACTAAAAGGGAGGACAGTTTCTGCTGAGCTGTGGTAGATGTATAAGGAGATATTCATTTGCTCCCAACTAAAATATATTCCAATAGAATGATCTGTTGGGGTCTGGGGAGCACACAAGAGGTCCCTGGCTAAGCAAAGATGATATATAGACAAAAACTAAGACATAACATATTGCAAAGGCCAGTGACAGACTGGAAGATCAGGAAACTTTCAAAGATCAAAATTTTACTAAAAAGATCAAATTATGAAAGAAAACTAGTGCAAGATAAAAATTGGATAGCAAAAGCATCCAAGTGTATAAAAAGGGAAAATAATTGGCCTAGCGCACAGGACATACTTGAGCAACTTTCCTCATTGACAGGTATAAAAGAACATAAGCAGGAGCAGGCAATTCAGCCACTCGAGCCAGTTCCACCATTTGATATGATCATGGCTGATATCATCATGGCTTCAACTCCACTTTCCTGTGTGCTCCCCATAACCATTCAACCCATCACTAAATCTAAAAACTGTCTAACTCCTCCTCAAATTTACTCAACGTCCCACCATCCACTGCACTCTGGGGCAATGAATTCCACAGATTCATGACCCTTCCAAGAGAAGTAATTTCTCTTCATCTCTGATAAATCTGCCACCCTTCACCCTAAAACTGACCTTTTGTTCGAGATTGCCCCCACTTAAGGGGACCCCTTCTCTACATTTAGTATGTCAATCCTCTTTTATATACTTCAATTGGATTAGTTTTCACTCGTCTGATTGATAACCGGATGCACAAAATTCAGAGGATTACAATGGAAAGTAATATCAAATAAGAATTCAAATCCAAACTACAACAACTAGACATTCTATGTTTTTAAAGTACTTACAGCAACGGGGTTTGGTGGAGGTGGTGGAAGATGTGCAATCTTTAATGCTCTTTTTTTCTCAATGAGTAGTGCTTTTTTGCGTGTTTCGATATACCTGTATGATATGGAAAAGTATTAAACCTTGCAAAATATACAACTGGAAATAGGTGATGGTGACAAAATAATACCTAAAGTTTAAATTCATTGCAAAGGCACAACTGATCCTTTTTAACCTTAAAAAAAAAAAAGGATTTTGATTTATTTATCACAAGCAAGGTAAATTAACCAAGGTCCGAGAGGACCATAGGGTTCCTGTCTGAAAGAAGTGTCTGGTGGTAGTTTAACAGAGGGTCACCATGCCTTAGTGAGGGCAAGGTTGACAGGGTAGAGCCTTCAAGGTGACCTCAGCCAGTACAGGAATGCAACTTGCACTAGAGTTACTGTGCATTATAAATCAGCCATCCAGCAAACTGTTAACTGACCCTGTCGGTGATAACAGAATTTAGAATTGATAATAAAAATGGAAATAAAATTGACATTCAGGTAATGATCTGTTTGGGCATATTGAGCGGCGTTTGACAAAGCTGGAGTTTAGGATATTGCTAATAGAAGTATTGTGTGTTAGTGGACACAGTATACTTGGATTTTCAGAAGGCTTTCCATGAAGTTCCCCACAGGAGGTTGATTAGCAAAATTAAAGCGAGTAGGATAGGAGGCAACATAGGGTTACAGCAACAAGACATTGGCTTAATTCTCATCCTCTCAGCCCATCAAGTCTAGTCCACCAAGGAGATCATAGCTGATCAGATAATCCTCAATTTCGCTGCCCTGCTGTCCAGCAATTCCCCTCCTCCCAATTCCATGACCCTGCATACCTTTACTGATTAAGGATTAGTCTCTCTCAGCCTTTAATATACTTAAATGATCTAGCTACTACAATAAAGGAATTCCACAGACAGATTACCTTCAAGACAATTTCTTCTTCATCTCCATTTTAAATAGGTGACCCTTTACTCAGATTATTCCTTCTGGTCCAAGGCTCCCACAAGGGGAGAGAAGAAAAAATAACAAACAGTCTCTGAACATCGAACCTGTCAAGCCCTCAGAGAACCTTGAACATTTCATTTCAATAAAACTGTCTCCTCTCAATCTTCTAAACTCCAAAAAGTACAAACACAACATACTCAACCTCAATATAGTCCTTCCATTCTCTGAATTAACCTCATGAATGTTCTCCGAACTCTCACAACACCAGGTTATGGTCCAACAAGTTTATATGAAATCACAAGCTTTCAGAGCACTGGTCCTTGGTCAGGTGAAGGATGAAGAAGCAGTGATCCGAAAGCTTGAGATTTCAAATAAACCTGTTTAACAATGACCTGGTGTCATGTGACTTCTGACTTTGGCCACCTCAGTCAAACATTGGCACCTCCACATCATTTCTCTGAACTGCCTGCAAAGCAAGTGTTTCTTTCCTTAGGAAAGTGGACAAAACTCACTGTTCTTGGTGTGGCCTGGCTTGTCCCTTATACTTTATTCCTTTTGAAATAAGGCTAGCAGTCCTTTTGGCTTCCCTGCTACCAATTAAATTTTGGTGCTAATTTTGAGATTAGCCTCTTGTGTAACTTTCTGCAATATTAACCTATTTAAATTATATTGTGATCCACCATCCTTTCTACTGACATACACAAAGGCAGATGTGTACTGGTACTGTCACTGGACTAAGCAATCCAGAGACCAGACTCTGCAGACGTGGTTTGAACCGCTCCGTGGTAGATGCTCAAACTTGAATTAATGAAAATCTGGTATTAAAAGCTAGCTAAATCGTGACCGTGTATCCATTGTCAGCCGCATAAACCCATCATTAATACCCTTTAGGGGAAGGAAATCTGTTGTTTACAATCTGGTCTAGCCTACATGACACCAGATCCGGAGTAAATGTGGTTAACTCTTAACTGCCCTCTGAAATGGCACTGGAAAGCAATTTGGGATGGGCAATAAATGCTGGTCCAGCCAGTGATGACCACATCACATGAAAAAAAGTGTCACCTTATATTCCAAACTTTTCCTACTTGCCCAGCATGTCTATAGTCCTCTGTAAAGTGTTTGTCTACCCTCACTATTTGCCTTCACATCCACTTGTGTCATCCACAAACTTAGCAACAGTACATTCACTACCCTCATCCAAGTCATTAACACATGCTGTAAATAATGGCTGCCACAGCACTGATCGCTGGGACACTCCACTAGTTCCAAGTTGCCATCCTGAAAATGGCCCCTTATCCCAACTCCCTATTTGTTAGCCAATCCTTTATCCATGCTAATATACTACCCACATCACCATAGGTTCTCATCTTATCACGTAACCTCATTTGCAATACCTTGTAAATGCCTTTAGGAAATATGAATACATTATCTACTGGTTTCTCCTTATCGGTGTTGCTTGCTGCCTACTTAGTTCTAAGTGCTAAAGAAGGGTCATTGGAATCAGTTCAGCAGGTTTGGCAGCATCTGTGAAGGAGAAAACAGAGTTAACGTTTCAGGTCTGGTGACCCTTCCTCAGAACCGGAACCGAAACATTAATCGTTTTCTCCTCCACAGATGCTGCCAGACCTGCTGAGCTTTTCCAGCAACTTTGTTTTTGTTCCTGATTTACAGCATCCACAGTTCTTTTGGTTTTCATTGGAATTAGTGTTGACTGTTGTCTCTCCACAGATGCTGAGTTTCAACAGCAGTTTCTATTTTTGTTTGTTTCAGATCTCCAGCATCCACAGTTTTTTGTTTTATTTTATATCCTACAAGACAAAGGTTTAACAAGAGGCATCAAAACCACTTTGGGGAGTAAAATTGCACCATCCTGGAAAACAACTATGATTTACTCCTGGTTTTTGATTAGTTTTAAATTTGAGAGCTCTCAATCGTTTTTCCTCAGGCAAAGCAGCTTCAGGCACAGCTAAAGCCAGCCTCTAATCTTGAGGATTCTAGAGGCCCGATTTCCAGTATGCAGCTTGTATCTTGGCTGAAAAATTGAACTAATGTCCAATCTACAAGAACGAAAAAGCAAAACAAGAATGGGGAGAAAGCTTAAAATTCTTAGTTAAACAAAATAATTCAATTCATCTCTCCTGCTGTGACATAAAAATACTATACTGGACAAGCTGAGCTTCTCTGGGGCATGCACAAGGGAGCGGACGCACACAAGAGAGCGGGACAGATCAATGTGACTGTTCAGAAGAAATCATATCAGACTCAAAACATGGATATAGTTTGTTTTTTTCTCCAAGGATGCTGTCAGACCTGCTCAGTTTCTCCAGCACCTTTGTTTTTAATTAATTTCATATTTCCAGCATCTACAATATTTTGCTTTTACTTGCCTGACAGTTAGGCTCAGAGGAAGGTTAACTTGCACAGATTTGAAACAACAGTGGCTCACACCGAGGCCTTTGTGGACAAGAGAAATCTTTTCATTCATTTCACATTTTTTATTGTAGAAACAAATATTGAGCCTACCAACCCTTTTGTATTGCCCACGGCAACACCTTGGCCAGTCCACCTGCCTGGTGGAAGAGGTTAAAAATCAGCTAAGATTGACAGTTAACAGATTCTTTCGTATCACCATGCCAACCAATCAGCATCTTATGTATAAATTGATATTCCCTTTCTAAAGTTGGTTTCTTGTATGCTTGCCCTGAGAAGTACAAGGTAAAGAGCGTTGACCTTGGTGTCACTTTTTAATTTTGTAAAGTACTGTACTGGCAAGCAATTGTTTCCATCAAAACCACTGGACAGCACACTTCGAGGAGGGAACATCAGTAGTCAAAGATAAATGTGATCCCAGGTACCATCTAGCTTCGTTTTTCTGAAAAATAGATTGGGTACAAGTCTGGAATTCATATGCCAGTACAAATAAAAGACACAGCTAGCTATTGGGTTAATGGCAATGCAACAAACTTCTTTATCAATATGGGGCAGTTACCAGAAGTGACAAGAGGAAAATAGTCAACAGGAAAAGCACATTCTTCTTGGAAAAATGCACTGCTCAAAATGCAAGTTAACTTTTTGAACATCTATTGTTGTCCCCTTCATTTAAAAAGGCTGAACTGCATTCAATCTAATACTCCCCCACAGCAGCAACATGTATAAGTTAGTCATTTAGCATCTTCATTTCCCCTTTGGATTACTGTGGACACTTTTATTCAATGTTATGTCTCACTAGCCTTTCACCAAAATTGCTTCATCATTGCTGATATCCGCCATCTACTTTTTGGCTACTTTTGTTACTAGCTCAGGAAAACAACATCAGGAATTCAGAATTATGAAATTATTTTTCCACCCGTGTATACTGTACATAGGTTAAGATTAATCTCCTGATGAAAGGTGTTGACTTCTAATTATAGACAATTCATAGATTTGTACAATGACTAGAAAAACTGAAGTAGTTAAAAGGTTGTTGATTCTCACGATGTTTTAGGTTCTGATGAGTGAATGCATCTTAAGTTTACAGTAGTTTTCAAACAATCGGAAGTGTAGGATAAAATATTTTTATTTTTTAAAGAAAAAGGGTTAGTCATCAGTTTGAGACAGGGGTAGAACAGTGGGAGCTCAGAATTAACAGCTGATATCTAGTTCACATTAAACATCATGACATAATCAAATCAACATTTCATGAGAAGCATACTGCAAGACTGTGCTTTTAACAGTTTGTTAAGATCATAACTGGAAATCAGAAAATTAAAAAAACATCTATTTTAACCATATTTGGAGTCAGTAAATAAACCGATTACAACTGATGTAGGAATCAGCTAGATTTAGGAGGCAAATTTACATCTAGTTTCACATCAAAGAAAAAGATTTTTAAAAAGCAAGGTGGTGATCATTCTCAGGGTACGGGTGGGGTATTGCCTTCTCATCCCACTGAAGACTGACAGATCCAGTGAAAATACAGTGCAATAGAAAACCCAAGTTTACAAGCACTCAAAATATCCATCGAACTGTTTAAAAAAATGTATACATCAACATGATTAACTGCTGACATCTACAGCCCATGTTTTGTGCTGATTTCTAAACAGGACAATTAACGTTTTATGCAAGTGTCCAAACATCTAGAATATTTGAAAGCCTACTAGGTGCATCATGTTGCTTGTGGAAAGACAATGACGAATTAAGTATTTACAGGTTTTTTACATGTTAGAAAATAAAAAAGTTGCAGTGATTACTGAAAGAGGTTCATGAACAAAGAAATAAGCTTCAATATGCAAGATCCACAAGTCAAATAAATAAAAAGCTCAATAGCAAACCTATTTTGAACTTCATGGTCTTTATTCTTTTGCTGCTTCAACTCCCTTAGTGCTTCTCTATGCCTTTTCTCAGCTTTTTCTCTGTTGACAGCTACCAGTTTTGAGCAAGCTTTCAAATCTGGTTCCTGCAATCAAAAGGAGACATACACATTAAAAAGTGAAAATCTGAAAACATTATGTCACAATCAATAGGTGAACATAGTAACTTGAAAAAGAGAAGCCTATTACATGTCAAAGGATCACATTGCATTTTCAGATCTATAGCTGAAACTAGATTTTTTTTTTAAAAAATCTGCAAATATAGCTTACGGGCAAAGTCAACAAAATTGTATGGTGTTAAAACTGACATCTGAAATAGCCAGAATCTGTATCTGAGAAGATTCAAACCTTTTTTTTAAAAAACAAAACATAAAAGCCAAAAAAAAAAGTGGTTTGTGCCATAACCTGAAACCACGCTAGAGTGTGTTGGAGTTCTATGTTCAGATAGCAACATCCAAAGTAAAATGGTGAAGATCACGTAAGAAGGTGGTGCTTAACAACAAGATTTTAGTAATCTAAGATTAGGAGATGGAGAAATATATGTTAGTTTGTGCTCAACTGTAATGCACTTTTATTTTTGCAAAGCATCTTCTATAATCCTGGTCTTTTATGTGAATATCTAATACTAAAACTTAAAGCAAGCAGCCAGTTTTTAATTTCATGTTCAAGATTTCATCATTAGCATACAATGAATGTAGTATTCCAAGTTTACTTCCTAAATATCTAATTAGTTACAATGAAGAAACAGTAACTTGCAATTCTGGTCACATAGAAGAGAGGTTACAAAAAATTGCAGAAATACACAGAAGTTTTTATTTTCATAGGTACAGTAGATAAGAAAGAAAGAAAATGGGTGATAAGAAAATCCTAAGACAGAGTGGACAGAATTGAAACAGGTCTTAGCGAAAATTTGTAGCTTGGGTAGTGGATGCAGTTGTTCAGCTGCTCGCCGAACCGGTTGTTCCACTGTGTGCATAGGTTTCGTTACCATTCCAGGCACCATTAGTGCAACCTCTAATCAAAGCGTTGATGTTCTGCTCCACTCCAACTTTACACAATCCTCTGACACAACAAGGCATAGAGCTGGATGAACACAGCAGGCCAAGCAGCATCATAGGATCAGGAAGGCTGACGTTTCGGGCTTAGACCCTTCTTCAGAATCCTCTGGTGTGGTGGGTCTTATCACTTCCTTTTTTTTTTAAAAAGCAGCGGTCTGTATTTGAGGTCCATTTCTATGTGTTTGTTAATGGATTTCTGTGTTGAGAACCAGGCTTCCAGAAATTCCCATGCAGGTCTGTTGTTCGCTTATCCCAGTCCCACTGATAGCCTTCATTGTCTGTGGGTATTCAGACAAATGAATATTGGTTATCTTTTTACTGCCAGCTGGTGTTCATGTATCCTGGTCATAAGTTTCCTCCCCAATTACCAATATAATGTTTATTGCACTCGCTGTATGGGATGCTGCATATCACATCAGATTAGAGGTCACACTGATGTTGCCTCGAATAGTACCCCAAAACATCTGCACGCCACAGAACAACTCGTTCGGCAAGCAAACGAACAACAGAATTGAAACAACACAGAAATAAAATTATGTAGCAACAGACATCAAAATTAGGCGAATAGTTAGGGACTGGGATCTAAATGGAGGAAGTGGAAAAGATTTCAGGTACAAGAGGACAACTCATGAACCATTTTGGAACCACTGCCTTAAATAGTAATAGGAATCACAAAAAGACAGTTACTAAAGCAAGATGGACTCGAGAATATGGCAATCCACTCAAGACTATTGATGGGCTAGATTTGTCTGCTCCGGAAAAGTGCGGAGGAGCAAGCTGACAAACATCTTTAGGATTATACAAGCAGAGGCTTGAGGGAAGAACAGAACTAGGGATTCAAGTATTAGATAGTTACCATTGAATTCAATTGGAAATTCAGAAGAAATTTAAGGTTTTAAGAGTAGATTTGTAGCTCGGGTTGTGGACGTTGTGGTTGGTTAGCTCACCGAGCTCGTTTGTTGTTCCGCAGACGTTTCATTTCCTTGTGCAACCTCTGATGAAGTGCTGTTGTGTTTTCCTGCCTGGTATTTAAACTCTGGTATCCATTGAGCTAGATTGCCTCACTTCCAGTTTTCCTTCACAATGGAGTATATATAGGGTCTAGCTCAATGTGTTTATTGATGGCCTTCTTAGTGGCGAACCAGGCCTCTCGGAATTCCCATGCTGGTCTCTGCTTGGCCTGTCCCAGGATCCTGGTATTGTCCCAATCAAACTGGTCCTTTTCCTGATCCACGTGGATGGAGATGAGTGAGTACTGGTCGTGTCTTTTTGTTGCTAGTTGATGTTCGTGTACTTGTGGCTAAATTTCTTCCTGTCTGTCCAGTGTTATGTTTGTCGCAGTCTCTGCAGGGAATCTCGTATATTACGTTGGTCCTGTCCATTGTGGCTAACCGGTCTTTGGTTCGGGTTAGCAGTTGGCATAAGGTTGATGTGGGTTTGTGTGCTACTCTGATGCCCAGTGGTCGTAGGAGTCTTGTGGTCAGTTCAGATGCGTTCTTGATATAAGGTAGCATAATGGGTGTGTCGGGGCGTGCAGTACCTTCCTGGTGTTGTTCGTGTAATAGGCATCTTCTGACCCAGTTTTTCAGGTATCTGGTGTCTTTGATTACTTGGAAGAGGTACTCTTCTTTTTGGCGTAGTTCTGTTTTGCTGCAGTGTGTTGTTGCCCATTTAAATAGAGTTTTCACGCAACTTCGTTTGTGGTGTTAGGGTGGTTGCGCTTGAAATTCAGTACTTGGTCAATGTATGTGGCTTTCCTGTGTATCTTTGTCTTTGTCCACAGTTGCTAGAAACTAAAGCTACTTATCACAAGCAGATGAGACAAGTAGCATAGATGCATACAACAGGAAGTTGTGTTAATGCAAGGGAGAAAAGGTACAGAGGTTACGTTAGTGGGGAGAGAGGAGATCCATGGACCTTTCGTACCAGCTGATCCATTTAGGAGTGGTAAATCTGACAACTATATCAGAATTACATCAAAACTCAAAACAAGAATAGCAAGGTTATAGAAAAAGGTCAACAAATGGATACAGACTTGGCATAGGAGAATTCTTAGATTTTTTTTATATGTAGAAACCAGTCAGATGACAGAGCAGGCTTTGTCAGAATAGAGTGCAGCCAACATTACTGACATGGCCAATCCTAAAAATCAATGGACATGTTTAGTACAATGACAGAGCAAGGGTTAAGAACAGTCCCGAGGGAGGATCAATGAACTTGAAACACTAAATCTGCTTTCTCTCCACAGATGCTGCCAGACCAGTAGTTTCTCCAGCAATTCGTGCTTTTCATTCAGATTTCCAGCATCCGCAGTTTTTTGTTTTACCTATCCATGGTAATATTGTTGTTAATTAATATGCAAACATGTAGTTAAGCAGGGCCAATGGTGAAAAGGTGTATGGATTGAGCGTAGAGGAGTTACAGCATTCAGATAAGAAAGAATTTTTAAAAAGGCAACAAAATGATCAGCAGCAAGAAGTGATCCAAGAAAATGACCTGAAAACTAAAAGGGAAAAATGTAACAACAGTCAAAGTGGGAGTCAAAATGTTCCTGAAAATGGGTAGGAACGGGGGAGGGGGAAACAATTAAATAAAGGAAGCAGAGGGATTGCTAATACTAAGCCAGGCGAGAAGTATAACGGTGTACAGTACAAAATGGGTTGGCTGTGCTGGAAGAAAATGGAAGGAAGGTGCTCATGCTTTGAAATTGCTAAACACGACACTAAGCATCAATGAGATAACAAAGGTGTAGAGCTGGATACACACAGCAGGCCAAGCAGCATCAGTGGAGCAGGAAAGCTGACGTTTCGGGTCTGGGCCCTTCTTCAGAAATGGGGAAGTGGAAAGGGACTCTGAAATAAAGAGAGAAAGAGAGAGAGGGGGGGAGGGGGGGAGGCGGATGGAAGATGGATAAAGGAGCAGGCAGGTGGAGAGGAGACGGACAGGTCAAGGAGACGGGGATGGAGCGAGTAAAGGTGAGTGTAGGTGGGGAGTTAGGGTGGGGGTTGGTCAGTCAAGGGAAGACGGAGAGGTAAAGGAGGCGGAGATGAGGCTGGTAGGTAGGAGGTGGGGTGGGGGTTGAGGTGGGAGGAGTGGATAGATGGGAGAAAGGATGGACAGGTTAGGAAGGCGGGGACGAGCTGGGCTGGTTTTGGTATACGGTCAGGGCCGAGGAGATTCTGAAGCTTGTGAAGTCCACGTTGATACCATTGGGCTGCAGGGTTCCCAAGCGGAATATGAGGTGCTGTTCCTGCAACCTTCGGGTGGCATCGTTGTGGCACTGGAGGAGGCCCAGGATGGACATGTCGTCCAAGGAGTAGGTGGGGGAGTTGAAGTGGTTCACGACTGGGAGGTGCACTCGTTTGTGGCGAACCGAGCGTAGGTGTTTCACAAAGCAGTCTCCAAGCCTCCACTTGGTTTCCCCGATGTACAGGAGGCCACATCGGGAACAGCAGATACAGTATACCACATTAGCAGATGTGCAGGTGAACATCTGCTTGATGTGGAAGGTTTTCTTGGGGCCTGGGATTGGTTGGGGGGGGGATGGCGGAGAGAGAAGAGAGAGAGGTGTAGGGGCAGGTGTAGCACTTCCTGTGGTTGCAGGGAAAAGTGCCGGGAGTGGTGGGGCGTGCGGAGCGGACAAGGGAGTCATGGAGAGACTGGTCCCTCTGGAAGGCAGATAAAGGGTGGGGAGGTTAAAATGTCCTTGGTAGTGGAGTCAGATTGCAGGTGGCGGAAGTGGCGGAGAATGATGCGTTGGATCATTGACTAAGCATCAATGGCTGTCAGGTACCAGTGTAGGTGAGGTGTTGTTCCTCCAGCTTACAATGAGCTTCGCCAGAACACATCAATAAGCCCAAGTCACAAATGTTGGCCTCTGATTACAGGAGGAAATGCCACAGGGTTATAAGGATATGACGAGTAGGGGTAGCCTTAAGGGAGCAGTTCTTCAGAATGCTGTCAAGAGGGAAGAAAGGTATCCGCTTGAGACAGCAGCAAATGGCAGGTTTATGGTCCTTTGGATGCAGAAGCTGATGGGGTGGTCAGCGAGGACCAGATGGACCCTATATTATTGAGGTAGGGGTAGGGCAGAAGTGTTCAAGCGACTTTGATTCCATATTTACAAATGAAATGACTGAGAGAAAGTATTTACTCACATTTTCTTTAGCTTGTCTATGTCCTTCACCCACTGCCTTCAAACTAGAGAGATAAAGCTTCTCTAGAGACTGTGCTTTCTCCATTTGTGCCATCTGCCATTCAGCCTTCAACTCATTTGCTAGTTGCTCAAGCTGTTGATTACGACGATGTTTTACCTCCTCTCGGATCTGCACAGCAATAGAACGCTCCTGCTCTCTGACCTGCAAAATAGCAAGAAAATATTTAAACAGTAATAGGCTCAACTTTGGCTACTGTACATGCTTTTTGTACAGTTTTTAAACACCCTGAAATGTTTCACATTGTTTTCCAATTTTCTGCAAATTAGAATAATGGTAGCATTTGAATTTAATATACTGGCTATCAATAAGAAGAAATAAACCTGCATATCACCTTCCACTTATTAAGGACTAACCAAAGCATTTTTAGGGCTGAGTTACCAACATCCAATTTTCAAATCAGAGATGTTCAACTAGCGGGAAGCTTGCAGGTCACGCTGCCATGTGCCTGCTGCCCTTCCAGGGACAAAGATATCCTGTTGAAGCTTTACCAAGTTTCGTACACTGCATTTGATTCTGTAAAGAATGTGACGGACATGGATCCTTAAAATAAAAATCTTTGATTGGGTTGTTACAAAAGTACCTGGCTGACCATACCTGCTTTATTCTTAACCTTCGTCTTCTCTCATGCTCTTCTTTTATCAAAAGTGCCTCTTCATTTGGACTAAGACGAAGACTATTCAATTTAACCACTTTTCGTTTCATCTTTCCTGGATTTGTAAGGATCAATTTAGAAAAATAAAATTCCTTCAAATATCTTCCAAGTTGCACCATGGGAGCAGATCAGAAAATCTAGGTTCAAGTCCCAACTATTCCACAGAAACGTCATGACATCTCATTACTTTCATGTCCACCATCTCCCAATCAAGAGATTACAATCCTGCCCAATCTCTGCCCTACTTCACCACCAACCCTCCCACTTTGCCCCAACCCCACGAGCCCCTCTGCCCAACACTCCAGCCATCCATCAGAATCCCCTTCTACCCCCACCTCCCATCACAGTGCCTTCGGCTTTTATCCACCACCCCCATCATGCCCTATCCTTCGGTCGCCCATTAAAAACACTCTCTGCTCCATCCCATCGCAAATTTTCATCAGCGTTTCGGAAAATCTCACCAATACTTTCAAAGCTTTTTTGTAGCAATCCGAAACAGCACCAAGGCAGAGTTAACTAGCAGGTGCAAACGTGCAAATTTCAGGCGATAGTCTATTTGTAAACCGGCTATCAACAAAATGCTATTACACTACGGCAGGCATTTCTCCTCACAGTATTTTATAAACAATCGAACCTAACAATTTCGCAGACACATTATTAGACATTCCAGTCCTCCAATATACATAAACCTTGTTCTACAACCATACAACTACTCGGATGGGTTGCTAAATTCACGAGTCGGGTAGCTCAGCAAACGTGTGCGCTTCCCTCCAGCTTTGAATCCAACACGAAAGGCCGTAATACTCAAACCGGACAACAGCTTGACCGACAATGCGACGCGGCCACTTACTAACGAACAAGAATGCTATTACATCACTTCCGCGATTCAAACTGAACGTCAACCAATCTGAGTCGGCGCGAGCAACGAATCGGCAGAAAGCGTCGGGGAAGGGGTCAGATCACTGACTATCACAATACCGGCACCTCCACATCATGAGTAACTATCGAGAGAGAGGGTCATAGGAGGAGTCATATCATTGACTCGAGAGAGAGGACCTGGTTCATTGATGAGAGGGATCGGTCACGGGGAGGATCCGGATCATCGACTATGCAGAGGGTCAAAGGGAGGACCGATATCATTGACAATAGAGAGAGAAGTAAGAGTCAGAGGGAGGACCCAGATCATTGAATAGGTTGAGAGAGAGGGACTGAGGGAAGACCCAGATCACTGATTACACGGAGAGAAAGCGAGAACTAAGGGAGGATACCGGTCATTGGCTACACACATTTGAGAGAGAACATCAATGGCGCACAGGGAAAATCCATATGGTTAACCATAGAGAAAAACAGTCCAGGTCATAAAAGAGAGAAATCGAAAGTCAATAGAGATCACAGATTTAGATAATCTGGATTACCGAGAGAAAGCAAGAGAGAGTCCTGAGTCAAAGACAACGGAGAGAGACAGTTAAGATCATAGATTGGAACAGAAGACGAAGGCAATGCATATCTGCCTCCCCTACATCCAACCCCCTCCCCCCAATTCCATCCCCACCATCAGCATAAACATCTCCATTTCCCAGCTGCTTTGGTTATCAGACTTGAAACATTAACACTGTTTCTTTTCCACAGAGGCTGCCAGACTTGCTGAGATTCCCCATCATTTTTTGTCTTTGTTTCAGATCTACAGCATCTGCAGTTCTTTGTTTTATTTTTGTTGCTTGACCAAGTCTGTGGAGTAGCTTTCCTAAATTCAGTAGTAATTCCCGGATATTAATGTGAATGCCTTTACAAGGTCCAAATGGCAGAGTATGCCACTGTTATGTACTGATTTGTTGCTTAGTTTGCAGCTAATAAATCTATTTTGAGCATTGACTGTTTTTCCTAGAATTCTGAGCTACTTCAGAGAGTTGATATCAGTCAACAATATTGGAGTCGAACACAGCTATATCAGGTAAGAACGTAAGGTTTCCTTTCCTAAAGGGCATTACCGAACCAGTTAGGTCTTTATTACAATTATGGTCATTTTCCTTACACCAGCTTTTTTTTATTTTTGGTGGCACAGTGCTTTTATATTTAATCATTTTTGTAGACTTGAGCTTGAATTTTTGTGGATATCTAGTAAAGAGGAACAGTTAGGTTACACTAAAGAATCAAGGAGTAGGGCAGAAGAGGATCAATATGACTCTAAAAGCACACTGCAACAGCCACCAGAGACAATAGCCTATCAGGAGCAAGAATCCTACACAAAGCTTAATGTCATGACAAACAACTGAATGAAGTCTCACACACACAGGAGAGGGTGCACTCAACTTTGTGCAATGATGGGAAAACAATACCTTGAGATTAAACAATTTCGGTTAAATTAATCAATTACTTGGTGTCTAGAACAGCCTCCTTCAGTGCAATAGAATTGAGAAAAGAGGGTTTGGGTACATTTGAGGTCCACATGAACTCTGCACATTCTGCCATGACAGGCTGAGTTGCTGCAACAAGCCAGCCAACTGAACTCAAGTAAATATATATAAATTTTGTATCTAACTGTTCAGAAAGACCAATTATAGAGAGCTCAGTAGGGCCTGAATAAAGGCTTGACTCTCCAGTGCACATTCAATAAAATGCTTGAATTCAAAACTCAACAGACAATATTAAAGTCTTTATTCGATGTACACTACACCTGAATTTTTTTTTCCCAAAATGAAAATATATACCAGTCTGCAACATTTGGTTGAGGATACCTCTTTACACTGGAAGACCAGCATGTTTCAGGCAAACCATAGAGCATTTTTCATCATGTAATGGTCCTCTAGCTACAGTTGATGTTTGTTTTGGTGTCCGTCCCTGAGAACACCTCATGAAGCACAGAGCCCTGCATCATGGAGGTGATCAGTACAAAGCTTGACAAAATCCACTGCATCTCCCTCTCTTGCAAGACACTCTTTGCAAAGGCACATTCCACAAGGACGTGGATAGCAATACCTTCCCCATCATAGCCACCTCAAGTGGGGATGAAACCCTGGTTGTGCAGGAAAGATCTGATGAGAGGGCACTTTGGCAATCTGGTCATAGAACCATATAATAAGATCTACAATTGCCTTTTCCCTCAGGTCCTCAAAGAAGTGATCTCTGCCTGATCGACTTGTGGTCAAAGGTGTTTTCAACACAAATTCTGCAGAAGGAACAGATGGTACAGCAAAATCCAACTAATTGAAACATTCTGTGGAAATGTGGCCAGACCCATTTTTCATAACTGCATGGACAGGTAAAAGCTCAGAATGTAGTTACACTTGACGCGTCTGCAAATGCAGGATTTACACATAACCTGAAGCAGCTTATGTAAAAGTGATCAACAGGATGAAAGCATGTTAGGTATATTTTTTTTCCTCCAGTTATTTAGAGATTTGTACATTGTGTGTTTGTGAACATCGTCTATTTTTGACCTTCAGACCTTCAGAGAAAACAGATGATGCCTCAGGAGTGAGGAATTGGCCAGACCTGTACCATGTACAGCAAGACCAAGAGAACCTCACATCTGATGACCACGTTCTTTACAACAATGGAGAGGGACCTCTGCTTTCACACAATCAGTTTTTGTTTAACTGTGGTTACTTGGTCCTCCCAGTTTTTAGCACACTGCCCAAACACTTTGAACCAAATCCCGAGCACCTGACAGTGCAGGAGACAAAAGATCAGTTGACTTTGTTCTTGCCTCAACATACCTTGGCTCCCAAAGACAGTTCAAACAGTCTGCTCACTGACAGTAGACCTGAGCAGAAGAAGGTGATGCCATCCACATAAAGGGAGGCTTTAACCTGAGTTCTATCAGTACCCAGGATCGTCACCCTTCTGATGTTTGCATTCTTCCTGATGGACTTTACAAAAGGCTCTGCATGATACACAACACAGAAGGCACCCCTGCTTGTGTGCAGGTTTGATTGGAAACCTCTCTGTTTATCAGCCATTGATTGAAACTACATGACTGTTGTTTTATGTAAAGCAGTTGTATCTAATTGCAGATTTCCTCCCCAGGCACCATTTCAGAGAGCATTTCCATTGTGTAAGACAGTGATTCTGTGTCAAAGTCCTCTCCTGCTCCAGGCTGATGGGGCAGCAGTTTGGCCCCCTGTCCAGTACATAGGCAATCGTATCCCTGAGCATGTTGCTGTTGGAGGTCTTCCAGCAAAGGGGGAGGCGATGGCCTAGTGGTACTATCACTAGTCCACTAATCCAGAAATTCAAGTAATGTCCTGGGAACCCAGGTTCAAATTAAGAGTTAAATGATGATCATGAAACCACTGTCGATTGTTGGAAAAACCCATCTGATTGACTAATATCCTTCAGTGAAGGAAATCTGCCATCCTTACCTGATCTGACCTACATCTGACCCCAGACCCATTCTCAACTGCCCTCTGAAATGGCCTAGCAAGTCATTCAGTTGTAAAAACTGCTACAAAGTCTCGAAAAAAATTAAATGAACCACCTGACTTTGCCCTAGGAACAGGAAACGACATATGGCGAAGCAACCCAGTCAACCCTGCAAAGACCTCCTTACTAATACTTGGGGCTAGTGCGCAAATTGGGAGAACTATCCCACAGACTAGTCAAGCAACAGCCTGACATAGTCACACTCACAAAATGATACCTTAAAGACAATGTCCCAGACACTATATACTTGGATACGGCCTGTTCCACTAGCAGGACATGGCCAGCATAAGTGGTGGCTCATAGTATACAGTTGGGTGGGAATTCCCTGGCAGTCCTCGATGTCGACTCTGCACTCCATGAAGTTTCATGACGTGAGGTCAAACATGGGCAAAGTCACCTCTTGCTGTTTACAACATAGCGTCCTTCCTCAGCTAATGACTCAGTGCTACTCCATTTGGAGGAAGAACTGAGGGTGGCATCAGTACAAAATGTACTTAGGTGCTGAATTTCATTGTCCACTATCAAGAGTGACTTATCAGCAGCACTATTACTGAATAAGCTGGTCACGTCCTGAAGGACATTGCTGCCAGGCTGGGTCTGTGAGGGAACAAAAAAGAGGGAAAAACATATTTCACTTCATCCTCACCAATCTGCCCACTGCATCTATCCATGACAGTATTGGTAAGTGCAACCACCACACAGCCCTTATGGTGATGAAGTCCTGCTTTCACATTGATCACCTTTTACCATGTTATGTGGCACTATAAGTGTGCTAAAAATAGTCAGGAAGTATGTTACTCGCCACAGTATTCCCAACCTCTGATCTGCTCATATAGCCACTATGTTTATGTGGTGAATCCAGCTGAGTTTCTGGTCAATGGTAACACCCAGGATGTTGATAGTGGGGGATTCAGTGATGGTAAGACCATTGAATATCAAGGGGCAATGGTTAGATTGTCTCTTATTGGTGATGGTCATACTCTGACATTTGTGTCGTGCAAATGTAATTTGCCAATTGTCAGCCCAAGCCTGGATATTGTCCAGATCTTGTTGCATTTGGACATGGACTGCTTCAACATCCGAGGAGTTGCGAATGGTGCTGAACGTTGTGCAATCGTTGATGAACATCCCCATTTCTGAGCCAATGATGGAGGGAAAGTCATTGATGAAGCAGTTGAAGATGGTTGGGTCTAGGACACTACCCTGACAAACTCCCACAGAGATTTCCTGGAGCTGAGATGATTGACCTTCAACAACCACAATTATTTTCTTATGTGTCAGGTATGACTCCGACCACTGGAGAGTTTGCCCTCGATACCCATTTATTCCAGTTTTACTAGGACTCCTCGATGCCACATTCGAACGCAGCCTTGATGTCAAGGGCTGTCACCTAATGATTAACTTGTAAGTGTTTCTGTAGCCATGATATTGTCTTTTCAAAAAAAAAAGATTTGAGAGAGATAATTTTGGAGATTAATGGAAGCTTGTTTACTTTGGGAGAGTGTTTGAGCAAACAAAGTAAACAATTTGTCATGCGTTAACTATTCCATTAGAATATTCTGGAATTTTGAGGGGCTTGGGTGACACCCATAGCTTAAAACAAAACAAGTTATTATAGTTTTAGTTTGGACGGTACTAAAGAATATTCGGCTGAAGCTAGATGTATAAACAGTAGTCCCTGAGAAAGGGAAAACATAGTTTAGAATTGTTAAAAATAGTTTACCTTCGTGTAAGGAGGTTAGTAGAAGCCCCAGAACAGAAGTGTTTGGTTAAACCCCCAATAGGTTATTTGAAGCTGAGAATGTTTAATCTCAGTTATACGATAAATTAGGGAAGAGGCTATCAGATTCTCATGATCATAAATTGAAGCCACAGCTAAGTCAACCGGTCTGTGGGCTAGAGAAGGGCCTTCTGTCAGGTGTTCGAATACATAATGGGATTCCTTTGGAATAAATGGAATTGTACTTTTACCACATGTTTCAGAATATTTAAATGTGCGTTGAATGTAAGTAGTTTTGTTTGTTCTATTTTATCTTCATTTCTTTTGCAATAATAAACTTATGTTGTATTGTCAAAACTAAATCTGCAACATTGTCTGCTTATGTTTCAGTGAGATACCACCTTGTCAAAACCAAAAAAAAAGTTATCAAGGCAGATTTCACTCTTGGATCTGACTTTTCCAGACGTAATATCATCTGGGATCATAAAAGTTTTCAGACATGCTGACAACACCCACATTCTTGAAATATTGCTTATGGAACATGTGCATTCCTAGAAATATTAGTTTATTAACCATCTTTAATTTTCTTTTATTCATTCATGGAATGTGGGCATCACTCGCTGGTCCAGCATTTATTACTCATCCATAATTTGCCCTTGAGAAAATGGTGCTGAGCTGCCTTCTTGAACCATTCACTGCATGTATGCCCAAAAATGTCATTTAGAGAGGTGTTCCAAGATTTTAACCCGACGACACTGAAGTAATAGTGGTCTATTTCCAAGTCAAGATGGTGTGTAGCTCGGAGGGGAACCTGCAGATGGTGTTGTGCTCATGTATACCTGCTGCATTTTTTCCCCTGGACGGTAGTGGTCAGAATGTCATGAAGACAGTAAGGACTGCAGATGTTGGAAGCTAGGATCAATAAATGTAGATCTGGAAAAGCACAGCAGGCCAAACAACATCCGAGGAGCAGGGAAGTCAACATTTCGGGCCGAAACCCACCTGATGAAGTGTTTCAGCCTGAAATGTTGACTTCCCTGCTCCTTGGATGCTGTCTGACCTACTGTGCTTTTCCAGCTCCACATTTATTGACTCTGGTCAGAATGTCAGAAGGGTTTGGAAGGTGCAGTTGCTCTTGACAGTTGCCTTCTTGAATCTTTGAATTTCATTTGGTATAGGTAGACCCATAGTGCTATTATGAATAGAATTCCAGGTTTTTGACTCAGAAAGGATGGTGATATCGTTCCACATCAGGATCATGGATGACTTGCAGGGAAACTTGCAGATGGTGGTGTTCCCATGTATCTGCAGGCCTTCTCTACCTAGGTGACAGAGGTTGCAGCTTTGAAAAGCACTGTTGAAGGAGATTGCAGTGCATCTTGTAGATGGTACACACAGCGGACACTGTGCATTAGCATTGCAGGAAGTGAATGTTAAAGCATGTCACAAGTGGTGTGCCACAGGAGTTGGTGCTAGGGCCTCAACTCTTTACAATTTATATAAATCTTTTGGATGAAGGGACTGAACGAGTTGTAACTAACTTGGCTGATGGCATAAAGATAAATAGGAAAGGGAATGCAAAGAGGACATAATGTGCCTACAAAGAGATAGCGATAGGTTAAGTGAGTGGGCAAATGGAGTAGAATGTGGAAAAGTGTGAAATTGTCCATTTTGGCGGAAAGAATATAAAGGAAGCATATTATCTAAATGGTGAGAGATTGCAGATCTCTGAGATGCAGAGAGATCTAGGGATGTGAGTGCATAAATCACAGGCCGGTTTAAGATACATCAAGTAATGTGGAAAGATTAGAATGTTATGTTTTATTGTGAGGGGAATTGAATGCAAAGGCAGGGAGCTTATGTTTAATTTATATAGGGCATTCATGAGACTGCATCTGGAGTACTATGTACAGTACTGGTCACCATATTTGCGGAAGGATGTCAGTTGATTGGAAGCAGTTCAGAGAAGGTTTACTGGACTAATACTGGGAGTGCCTTATGAAGAAAGGCTAATCAAGGTAGGCCTACATCCTGTGGAGTTTAGAAGAATCAGAGGTGACAATTGAAATATATAAGATCCTGAGGGGACTTGACTGAGTGGATGTAGAAAGGATGGCTCCTCTTGGGGAGTATCTAGAAATAGAGGTCATAGTTCAAGAATAAGACAGAGATGATGAAAAATAAATCTCTCTAAGGGTTGTGAATCTTTGGAATTCCCTTCCTCAAAAGGCAGCAGTTGCAGAATTTTGGAATTTTTTAAAGTAGAGGTAGATTGATTCTTAATTACCAAAGGGATGAAAGATTATAGATTATATGCAAGAATGTGGAGTTGATGTTAAAATCAGGTCAGATATGATCTTATTGAATGTTGGTTCAGGCTGAAAGGGCTAAGTGGCCTACTCATGTTCCTTGGTTGTATGTTCATATGACTGTTGGGAAAGTAAGGACATGACTAGTTCTAGAGCACAGTCATCATTACCATAACTGAGTCTTTGCAGTATCCAGTGCCATCAGCCATCTCACGATATCGCATGGAGTGAATTGAATTGGATGAAGACTGACATCTGTAATGCTGGGGATCTTGGGAGGAATCTGAAATGGATCACCCATTTGGGACTTCTGGCTGAAAATTGATGCAAATACATCAGCCTTGTTTTTTTTCATTGATGTGCTAGACTCCCTGTCATTGAGGATGGTGATATTTGTCCATCACTATCCATGGCTGTATGTCACATGACTGTAAAGCTTAGATCCAATCCAATGATTGTGAGATTGCTTACCTCTGTCTATTGCATACTATTTCCACTGTTTGGCCAGCAATTCATGCTTTCTCACTTCACCAGCTTGACACCTCATATTTAGCTGGCATGTCCTCCTGCACTCTTCATTAAAGCAGGTTTGAACTCCTTGATAGTAATGGCAGAGTAGGGTAATATGCTGGGTCATAGAGTTGGATAGATTTCTGCTGTTTCTGCTGATAGCCCATAGCACCTCATGCATGCCCAGTTTTGAGTTTCTAGATCTGTTTGAAATTGATTTCATTTATGATGGTGCTGGTGGTGCCACACCATGTGATAAAGGTTATCCCCAATGTGAAGTCAAGATTTTTTTTCATAAGGATTTTGCAGTGGTCATGCTTACCATTTCTGTCATGGATAGATGGACAGGTTGATTGGTGAGGATAAGGTGAAGTTTGTTTTTCCCTTGGTTCCTTCATTGGCTGGAACCAGACCCACTCCGGTACCTCTTAGGACTGGGCCAGCTTAGTCAAAGTGGTATTGCTGAGGTACTTATATTGATGGACTTCGAAGTCCACCATCCAAAATACATTCTGAGGCAGTCAGCAGTGGAATTACTTGGAAGTATGTAGAGATTACAGCTGCAGATTTTATAGAACACCAAGTGGCTTTTTAAAAGAAAAAGAAACAGTAAAAATTCAAATTGACAGATAATACACTGAGTGCTTCCCACTGAGGAGGATGATGGTTCATCTGGCAAATGCAACCAGAGCAAGGTCCACAGGATGGGAGTTGTTTGGTTTTTTTTTCATTCATTCACAGAATGAGGATGTTGCTGGCATTTATTGTCCATCACTATTTGCCCAGACGGCCGGTGAGAGTCAACCACATTGCTATGGGTCTAGAATTACATGCAGGCCAGACCAGGTAAGGATGGCAATTTCTTTCCCTAAAGGACATTAGTTAACCAAGTGGGTTTTTCCAATAATGGATTAATGGTCATTTTTAGACTCCTAATTCCATATTTTCTTGAATTTAAATTCCACCATCTGCCATGGTGGGATTTGAACTCAGGTCTCCAGAATAATACTTGGGCCTCTGGATTAACAGTCCAGCGATAATACTATCACCTCCCAAAATGTTGGTATTCAAGGGAGATTGGTACAGCAATTGTGATAGAGATTCTATACTTAGAGGAGCACACATGTTTTTGCAGCCACAGATGTGTATCCAGGATGGTGCTTTGCCTTGCTAGCGGCAGGGTTATGGATGTCGCTGAGCAGCTGCAAAATATTCAGGAGTAGGAGGGTGAAAGGTCAGAGGTCGTAGTCCATATTAGTGCCGGTGCCAAAGACATAATAGAGAAAGAGATAAGGTCTGCAGGTAGAGCTGAGGTGTTAGGAAAGTGATTAAAAAGCAGGTCTTGAAATGGAATAATCTCAGTGCCACCAGGTCCTGCTGAAATGTGCCATTGACTGTTACAAGATGCCAGAGATAAAATAGTGGAATACCTTACTACCCTTTTCCAATCTTCAGTGGATGCAGGTGTGGACCTGGAAGTTTGGAGAACTGCTAACATTATAGTTTTCTTTAAAAATTGCGTAAGGGATAGACAGTCCAGTCAGTCTAACCTCCATAGCGGGAAATTTATTGGAACTCATCTCGAGAGACAGGATAAAAACCGAAGAACTTTGGATGCTGTAAATCAGAAACAAAAGTAGAAATTGCTGGAAAAACTCAGCAGGCCTGGCAGCATCTGTGGAGAGAAGTCAGAGTTAACATTTCAAGTCGAGTGACCTTTCTTCAGAACTTGACCCGAAATGTCAACTCTGAGATTTACCTGCATTTTCTGCACACTGAGAGATAGGCACAGAATAATCAAAGACAGTAGGCATAAATTGTTAAGGGAAGAGCATAACTGCCTAACCATTTGGAGGAGGAGTGTGACAAGGATAGTGCAGTTGAGTCAGTCTTCATGGAGTTTAGCTAGGCATTTGAAAATGTCTCACATGGTTGAGAGAAAAGAGCCCATGAGATCCAGGGGAACATAGCAAACTAGGTACAAAATTCATTTCTTAGTGGGAAACAAAGGTAATTGTTGACCCATGTCTTAGCAACTTCTTAAAATTTATTCATGGCTGTGTATACTGCTGGTTTATCTAGCATTTATTACCCACCCCTAGTTTCCCTCCAGAAGATGAGCTGAATTCTTGAAGTGTTGCAGTTCATCCAGGCTAGATGGCTGTTTCCAGTGAGGTTTTGCAGGGCTCATATTAAGCCTCCTGCTTTATGTGATTTGTATTAATAGTGTGGATGTAAATGGAGAGAATATGATCATGAAATTTGCAGGTGACACAAAAATTGGCTGTGCGGTCGAAAGGGAAGATGGAAGTCTACAGGAGCATATCAATGAACTGGTCAGGTGGGTAGAAAAGTGGCAAATGGAATTTCACCAAGGGAAGTGTGAGGTGATGCATTTGAAGAAGTCAAACAAGGCATAGGAATACATGCCCATACTTACATTTAAGGAACAGGAGTAAGCCATTTGGCTCCTTGAGTCTGCTCTACCATTCAATAAGATCATGGTAATCTGATTGTAACTTAAAATCCACATTCCTGTCTACTTTGATAACTTTTCATCCCTTGCTTAACAAGAATCTATTCACCTTACCATAAAAATATTCAAGGACTTTGCTTCTATCATCTTTTCAGAAAGAGAGTTTGAAAGACTTACATTCCTCTGAAAGAAAAAAAAGTTATCTTTGTTTTAAATGGGTCACTGTTGATTTTTTTTTGCAGCTCTTGATTCTCTTATTAGAAGGAACATCCTTTCCAACTTGTTAACACCTGTCAGGATCTTATATGTTTCAATCAAGTTGCCTCTTAATCCACTCCAGCAGATTTAAGTCTACGCTGTCGAGCTTTCCTCACAACACAACCTGCTTATTCCAATTATTCATCTGGTTGAAACAAAACAAAAACGGAAATTGCTGGAAAAGCTCAGCAGGTCTGGCAGCATCTGTAAAGAAAAATCAGAGTTAGCGTTTCAGAATTGTGAGGAAGGATCACCCGACCCGAAACATTAACTCTGATTTTTCTTCACAGATGCTGTCAGGCCTGCTGATCTTTTCCAGCAACTTCTGTTTTTGTTCCTGATTTACAGGAATTGGCATTAATTGGCACCCTGCTTTGCCAATGGGGGCCTAGATGTCCTGATGGACAGTGTGGTGCGTGCAGTCACTGCTTAAGAAGAATGTCCTGAGATAGTAATAACTAATGTCCAAGATTGAGGTCCAGAGGGACAAGCAGCAAGTTAGAGTTGCCAGATTACCATCAGCTTCCTCTCTAATTTTCTTCCCAGCCACATAGGCCTCTGGGGCATGTGTGCAGCAATGACTTCTGGAATCAGAAATCAATGGTGTGATTGGTGTGCCAATACTGAACACCATGTCTGGAACATCAGAGTGGCTGCGAATGTTTGCAGCTACACAGCTTATTGGCAATATTGCTTACTGGTCTGCTTTCATGTCAGGAATTGTCACCATCCAATTTCTATCTAATAGGTGGAAAGATGGGAAACTGCATATCAATGAAACTGGATGATGTAATTATGAGGAAGTTAATACATACTCTTGCATGTAAATAGGCCTCATACTGCTCACTAGTCAAAACCTCATCTTACCATTTCAACACTTGTTTGAAAAATGTGACCTTTTTTCTCAATGTTGGGAATCTCCTCACTACTGATCTGATGTGATTCTTTCAACTTTTTCGCCATTGCCAATAGCGCTCAGTAGCTAGAAAGATTCCACCCAATGCATCAGGAATTCTTCATATCAAATTACTGTGACTGTGTGAAATGTCCAGATAGCCCCTGCCCTGACTGCAGACTAGATGACTATATCTCTGTGAAATGTTCAGTTTACCTTACCCAGTGTGAGGACTGGTTGATTGTGACTGTGAAATGTTCAGCCTATCTTTGATCTTGGTGAGGATTATGTGACAGTGACAGAAATTTTCAGTTTGTTCTTGCCTGTTGTGAGGATTGTGTGACAGTGACTGTAAAATTTTCAGTCTGTTATTGCACATTTTGAGGACTGTGTGACAGTGGCTGAAATGCTCAGTCTGTTCTTACCCATTGTGAGAAATGTGACAATGACTGTGAAATAGTCAGTCTACCCTTACATATTGTGAGGACTTTGTGACATTGCCTATGAGATGCTCAACCTTTTAGACGGTGGCTTAGTAATAACATCAGTAATCTCGAACTCCATGATATTGTTCTGTGCACAGCTTTTAAAATCCCTCTGTGGCAGATGGTAAACTATCAACTGAATAAAAATCTGGCTTAATGTTGACTATTTAACTGCTGTCAGTTGTCATTAAAAAGCCATATGGATCACTAAGGTTCTTTTGGGCAGAAAATCTGCCATCCTTTCCTAGTCTGGCCTACAAATGAGTCCAGACCCACAGCAATGGGGTTGACTCTTAACGATCCTCTGGCAACTAGGTACGAGCAACAAATAATTCTAACATCCCTTGAATACATTTTTAAAAAAGCAACAAGTCAAAATTGAAACCGGTCAGCAGGAGAAGTTGATTTTTAAAGGTATCAGTTGGCTAGATGGATAGTAACAATTATTTCAAACAGAAAAAATGTGGAAACACATGGGGGTAGTGCAGGAGATTGGCATGAGGTAATTATGTTTATTTGGAGACCTAATACAAACATGTTGGGACAAATGGTTTCCTTCTGCACCTAACACTTCCATGATTCGATTCTTGCCCATTGTGAGGACTGGGTGACAGTGAAATGTTCAGCCTGTTCCCCTGGGTGAAAATGACTGGTAAAGTGTGAAACGCCTGTTCTGTCCCTGTCCTGATGACTGTGACTGGCTGTTCCTCCAGTTGACAGAGGGCGCTCCACGGGATGAGCGGCCGGAGTCACAGTCGTTTCTTTTCCTCTGGTTCCTGTTATCCTAGTGCAATTCTGGTGCCACGTATTCAGGGTGATTGGGGGTGGGCATTAGGAGAAGGAGGAGGCGGTGGTAGCTTCCGCACTCGCGGAGCGGAGCCCACTAGAGATTCGCTCGTGGCGGAATTTGAGCCGCTCCCAAGAGCTTGATCCTGAGCCAATGACCGGTAAGTTTTTCAAGATAGGGAGAGGGGAAAGTTAGGAGAAAGCGGGACTAGAGTTCAGTGGGATCGCAGAAGGGGCAGGGGTAACGGGGAGAGGGTTTGGGGTTTAAGAAGACGGAGGAAGAGGTGGAGAAATTAGGGAGACAGGAGGATTTAGGTTTGCAGAGGGGAAGACAAGAGGTAAGGGTGAGACAAGGGACGCAGAAAAGGGTTTAGGGTGAAATGGTGGGGAGACGGGGAAGGAGTGTGATGGGATGGCGAGATCTGGTTGAAAAAAGAGTAGCTAAATAGTGGGTTTAGGGGCATTTAATAAAGGGGAGGAGCGTTTTGGGGGGTGAGACAGACAAAAGTGTAAAGAGCGAGTGAGGTTGGGGAAGAGGAGAAAGGATGGGAGATTTGAGACTAAGTCGGGCAACGGTGGGGTAGGGGAGAGTGCAGTTTGGGAGGCAGCGATGGAAGTTGCTGAAAAGAGAGGAGTGTTAGGGATAGAGTTGAGAGAGCTTGGTAACTTGGTGGAATTTTCATATGTAGCAATGTTGATCCGAATATGACATTTTAAAAAGTTAGAGACATGATATGGTTGGTACAAGGGAAGAACCTGCAATTTTGAGCCATTCAAATTTGCATAAATGATGAGGAACGGGAGTTAGCGTGTCAGTGGGAAGATAGTGCCCATTGATGCCAGCATTGTGTAGTTTGTAACTGAAATACAGTGGGTATTGAAGTGTTTAAATAGAAGTTAGTGAAGGACATGAATGAAGAAAATGTATAAAATTGATGTGACTTGAGGCATAGAATGCCTTGTACATGTGCAAAATGTTGTGTTTTTATTATGCACCAATCTGGTTTTCTAAAAAGCCTTAGAATTGTTTCCCTGTTTATAAATGTTGTATTTTGAACAAAACTAATTATTGAAAAATTGTTTTTGCTTCAATGAGACCCAGCTTACATAATTTATAATCAATGAAAGAATATCTTCCCATGATAAGGTGTGAGGTAGAACCTTAAACTCAGAGCTTTAAATGGATTCTCAAATATTGTGTACAAAATAAGCACGTTTAGACATAAAATGGTGAAGCTTTCTTTGGATGTATTTTACATTTGTCATCATGTGCTGAGCACTGAAACATTGTTGGTTTTTACTCTGACTGAAGTGTGGTTTGGATACTGATGTTTATGCGCGCATGAGCATAGTTTGAGGTTGTAGACTTGCTCGCCGAGCTGGTGTGTTTGGTTGCAGACGTTTCGTCACTCTGCTAGGTAACGTTGTCAGTGCGCCTCTGGTGAAGCGTTGGTGTTCTGTCCCACTTGTTATTTATATGCCTCTGTTTGCTGGGATGATTGGCATTACATCTGGTTTGTTTTTCACAGGTTTGTATATCGGGCCCAATTCTGGTTGGAATGCCAGGCCTTTAGGAATTCCCTGGCATGTCTGTTTGGCTCGTGCTATTATGGATGTGTTGTCCCAGTCAAATTCCTGTCCTCCTTTGTTTGTGTGTATTGAGACCAGTGAGAATTGGTCATGTCCCTTGGTAGCTAGTTGGTGTTCATGTATCCGTGTTGTCAGTTTTCTTCCAGTTTGGTCTACGTAATGTTTCACACAGTCCTTGCGTGGTATTCTGTATATTACATTAGTTTTGTTGGTTATGGGTATGGGATCCTTTATGTTTATCAGTAGCTGTCGCAGAGTAGTTGTTGGTTTGTGGGCTACCCTGATACCTAGGGGTCTAAGTAGTCTTGTGGTCATCTCTGGATATCCAAAAAGCACAATCTGCTGTTACCTCCGTGACAGACCACAACAAGATGACACAACACGGCCAGACACACTAGTCACCCTACCATACATCAGAGATGACCACAAGACTACTCAACCTTTCTCTTTTTAGAAAATGTCTCTCTCTGTATCAGTGTAACTATTACTAGCATTTATTTCATCAAAGAAGATTAACAGTTGCCTTTTATAATTGAACTGAACAGTCTTTTTGAACATTTTTCTCAATTTAAAAAAAACACTTGGTTGTTCAGGTGGTAAAATGATGTTGGGCTTCTTCCCATGTTCTATATTGCAGTTTGTTTCTTTTCCATCTGTTCTGTGTGCTTGTCTTCTATCAGTTTTACTACATTACTTGGATTTTTAGCATTTTGAATTTCTTCTTTTAAATGGTCCAGTGTTTCTTGGTTTGTTACCAATCTCCAATAAGTCATTCTCTGTCTGTGAAAGATTGTTAAGCTGTATCTGTTGTTAGTAACAAGAGTAGGTCATTCAGCCCCACAAGCCTGTTGCACCATTCGGTGAGATCATGGCTGATCTGTGGCCTAACTCCATGTACCTGCCTTTGGCCCATATCCCTTAGATTTTTTTGTTAAGCAAAGATATTATCTCAGATTTGAAATTAACAACTAATCCAGCGTCCACTGCCATTTGTGGAAGAGTGTTCTAAATATCTATCATCCTTTATGTGTAGAAGTGTTTCCTAACATCTCTCCTGAATAGTCTGGCCCTAATTCTCAGACTATGGCCTCAAGTTCAAGAATCACCAACCAGTGGAAATAGTCTATCTATATGTACCCTGTCTTTTCCTATTAATAACTTGAAGGTTTTGATCAGATCACCTCTTAAGTTTCTAAATTCACTACTTTCTTGTCTGACTCACCACTTTGTTTTCTAATTCATCTTGAATGTTTCTTCTGCTAACTGAATAGCATGCAGCTTGTTTTCCATTTACTGTTAAGTATGTCATGTTATATCCTCACTCAGAGATAGTAGGAACTGTTGATGCTGGAGTCTGAGAAAACGGGGTGTGGAGCTGGATGAACACAGCAGGCCAGGCAGCATCAGAGGAGCGGGAAAGCTGACGTTTCGGGTCTGGACCCTTCTTAAAATGTTGGCTTTCCTGTTGCTCTGATGCTGCCTGGTCTGCTGTGTTTATCCAGCTCCACACCTTATCTCATGTTATATCCTGTTTAGTCTTTTCCTGGACTGCGACTTTATTGTCAGATAATTTACCATGTGGAGAAAGACCATTTGGCCCATCAAGCCTGCACTGACACTCCAAAAGCATCCCATCCAAATCCCACCACTTCCCCCTCCCCCATCTCTCTAACCCCACATTTACCACATCAAATCCACCTAACCTGCACATTCCTGGACACTATGGGCAATTTAGCACGGCCAATCCACCTTACCTGCACATCTTTGGACTGTGGGAAGGAGCAGGAGCACCTGGTGGAAGCCCACACAGATATGAGGAGAATGTCTGCATGGAGTTTGCACCCGAGGCTGGTGTCGAACCCAAGTCCCTGGTGCTTTGAGGCAGTAGTGCTAACTACTGTGCTCGGTCACTCACTCACTCACACACAATCTCAATCTTTCTTTCACCACCACCACCTCCCTCCTCCCCCTCTTCCCTCCCCCCACCACCAAAAAAAATCTAGTTCTTTTCATCTTGGAATGCTATAAGTTTCTGGAGATATTCTTCAGCTCCCTGCGCTATCAAAATTAGCTCTTTCCTGTTTCTGTCAAGAACGTTGTGTCTTTCAGTACTTGCCTTGAGAACGTTGTTATTTCATTGCAGAATAGTTGTTTAGCTTTTCATGTTACTGTTCATAAAAATAGATTTTCCAGTCTAAGCTTTGAGTTTTTGGCAGTTATTTTCTTGTTTCTTGGTGGATGCTTTCCAATGGTTGTGTTACCCTTGACCCTTACTGATGCCTCCTTCTTCTCATAACTTACAAAGGCTGTAGAAACATAGAAGATAGGAACAGGAGTAGACCATTCAACCACTGAACCTGCTCTGCTATTCAGCATGTTCCTTGTTGATCCTTTATCTCATTGCCATATTCCTGTGCTGTCCTCGTATATGTTGATACCTTCAGCCTCTGAGTCTTCTCTACTTTGAATATATTTAGTGAGTTGGCCTCCTCATCCTTTGTGGTAACAAATTCCACAGGTTCACCATCTTCTGAATGTAAAGATTTCTCCCTATTTTGGCCCAAAATGGTCTGCCACATATCCTGAGACCATGACCCGTTGTTCTGCATCCAGTGTGCCTACCCTGTCAAATTTTATATGTTTCAGAGAGATCCCCTCATTTTTTTTAAAGCTCCAGTGAATACAGACCCATTTGACCCAATCTCTACTCATACAACAAATCTACTATCTCAAGAAGCAGTCTGGTGAACCTTCACTGTTCCCCCTCAATGGCAAGTATCTATTTCTTCAGGCAAGGAAACCAAAACTGTGTCCGCCCAACTTGATGGTGCGGTCTCGCCAAGGTCCCGTAAAGTTACATTCCTATACTGAAACCCCCTTGCATCAAGGGCCAACATACCATTTTCATTCCAGCAGCCTATTCAGAGATGTTATTACACAGCTCGGGAGAAATGGGGCTTGAAGCTGGACACTTGGTCCAGAGGTAGGGATGCTACCATTGCATCACCAGAGTGCCCAACAGAAAGTCAATGTTTTGAGTCTAATACATCTCTTCTTAGGATCTGGCGATCTGCCATGATGAGATTTAAACTCATGGTGCCAAAGCACTAGCCTGGGCCTTACCTGGACATTAGCACAATGCCACTGTTTCCATTGAAAGAATTGCACATCAGAGAATGCAGTTCATCCCTCAAATGGAGAACCAGACTACATCCGTATGTTTGCTTTCAGTGACCAAATCTGCAGCTCTTCAGATCGATAGGTAGGGTTTCATGTCTGATAGTAACCACTTAGTCATGAATGACTCTGCAATCTTAAAGAAGTAATCTGTGAAGGCAATGGAGTATAGTCTGTCACATATTGCCAATCTCCTGTCCTACCACAGGGCCAAGCACCCTGGACTGTTACTATACAACCGTCAATAACGGCTCCTGTTCCATTCCCAGTTCACGTTTTGGTAAATCAAACCATAATGCTGTGCTGCTTCTGTCAACTTACAGGTAGAACTGCAGCATGAAGATCCAGTACAGAAAGTTTTATATTGCTGGTCTGAGCTCTGAGCTACTCGTGA